GGTGTGAGTGGACATACAACTGACAAATGGAGGCGATTCGTAAAGGAGCTGAGAGTATGGGATTATGTGTGATTATAAAATAAAATATAGTGCTAGAAACAGTATTGTGATATACAATTGGCTATCTTCCTTTTATTATCGAAGCTATTAGAGCCCCTTTCGTTTTTTTTGTATTATTATTTTTTTCAGGTATTATAGGGTCTTGAGTAGGCTTCGTATATTAGCGAATTGTCTAGTTTGCTTGTAATAGGATTTCTGGGTAGGAAGTGAAACCAATTCAACGTTCGTAACACGATTTAAAGAGGTATTTTGCGTGATAAATCAGCATCAATACCATAAGTTCGTGACATCCCACTAAAACATAAGGAGCCGTAATTAAACAAAATGTTCTGCCCTACAGACATGGGTGGATTGAAGTTATCTCCCCACCTTCATGTTTGCTGGTCAGTAACGCCACCCTCCCTCCTTTTGTGATGTTAGGCTCTCTTACGTTTGTGGTAAGTATGAATACTGCTTTAATCAAAGCCCATAGTTGGAATACACTGTCTCTACTAGGTCCATGTTACAAGCAAATCAGATAGTTGAAAAGTCTTTTTTTGGGGGTTAGATGTCCATATAGTATATCACACTACTATGAAAATAACTAATGGTTTAAAGAAGTAAGGACTAATAGCAAATCAAAAGATATGAGAGGGTAGAAAATTGTAGAAAGAAAAAAAAGATTTCAGGGTAAGACAAATAAAACATTGAGAAACTCACAAGACTTTGTGGGCAAATTTTGAGCTTTGTATGATCGGCCTTAGTAGATCAGCATCCATAAGGTTGAGCTATCTGTCTAATTGCAGTAGAAAAAAAAAGCATGACTTTTAGGAAGAATAATGTACATTTAACCTGTAGAGATTTGGGGACTGAAAGCTAGGGTTAGGAGCATGAAGTCATGATTAATAAACAATGAATAATAGGAAAGGATAGGCCATATATTCTGTGATTTGGTTATATTCATATTAGTAACAGTCGAACGTGTTATAATTTTGTTCTTTCTAGATACTAGGCGGTCCGTAATAAAGTGCCTCATTGGTGGGCGGGAGTTCAAGGAAATGTTGAAGCTCTTTGGAGTCTAGAAATAGGGTTATTAGCTCTTTGAATCTGGTAAACGTATCACAGTTACGGATAGGCATTGGCAGCCTGTTCCACAATAAACTGTACCGTACTGTAAAAAACTTACAACGCATTTGTTTTTGGTGTTTTACGGTAAGTAGTGTATATGCGTTGTTTCTAAGTCTATAGGCTGGGTCGTGGGTGATAGTCGGGCAGGAGGTTAGAAAGGAGAGCGCATATATCGCTTTGTAGAGAAATATTAAATTGTTTTTTAGCCTACGGTGCCATAAAGGTTCTAAAGATAGATGCTTACATCTTTCTGTGTAATCGAGATTCGAGTTACATCCTAGTAGTTGACGTGTGAAACGTCTTTGAACATCTCCTACTCTTATCTTGTCCGCGATATTCATATTAGAGAATACAAAAGAGCAGTATTCAAGGGAGGGTCGTACACATATTTTGTATGTATCTTGGAAGTCTCATCAGCCCTTGTGGTTTAATGTGTGACGAAATCTTAGCACGGATACAGAAGGCTCGTTTGGCTTTTGCTAACTTGCGTCATTTATGGCGTAGGCGAGATATCCGTCTATCAACCAAAGGACGTGTTTACTGCGCAGCAGTTCGTCCCATCCTACTTTATGGCAGTGAAACGTGGCCGGTAAGAGTAGAGGATATTCGTAGGTTACTAGTATTTGATCATAGGTGTCTTCGAAATATTGCTCGTATATCGTGGGACCATCGAGTAAGTAACACAGTTGTTAGGAAACGGGTACTAGGTAAGGATGGCAAATCCATTGATGACGTAGTGAAACTTCATCAGTTGAGATGGCTGGGACATGTGTTACATATGCCCAACGACCGACTGCCTCGACGTGCGATGTTTTATTGTTTAGGAGTAGGTTGGAAGAAAGCTAGGGGCGGCCAAACCAAAACATGGCACAAGTCCATGAAGTCACTGACAAGTGGACTGAGTCATGTTGGTAGGTGTAGACTACCTGGCTGGGGACGGCGAGATGATAGCAACCGATGGTTAGAGACCCTGAATGACATGGCTCAAAATCGTTGACAATAGCGCAGGTGCATCCACTCTCTGTGTTCTCCCAAATTCTAATCTTCTGAATCCTTCATGTCCCTTTTTTCCTCTTTCCAAATTTATTTCACTGGATTATACTCTTTAAATAACATCTCCAAACCCTAATCTTCCCGATTACTGCTTATACTCTTGCTACCTCTACCACTACGGGATTTGAATAGACAACTGCATCTCTGTGCTAATGTGGTGTGGCAACTCGAACTGATGTACATATGTACGAAGTTCTACGTTGTTACTGACTGACTGACACATTTTGTAGAGAGTAAGTTTACCCTCTGTTGTGAAAAAGTTTTTCATTATAAAACCAATTAGCCGTCTAGATTTAGAAATAATAGAGGAGGCATGTTCTTCAAGGTTTAGGCTTCCTGTGTAATTAATTCCTAAATCGTGTAGTGATTCGAGTGTTTGGGCTCTACTTTTATTTAAGTGAGGTTGCGGTTTATAGGAATGTTTTCCAAAGTGCATGATCCCGCACTTGTTGAGGTTAAATGGTAATTGCCATTTTTCACTCCAGATAATTAAGTTATTGAGGTCCTTTTGGATCTGAGATACACATTCGCTTAGTGTCTCAGGCTTATAGATGTATACTATTTTGAGATCATCAGCACATAAGTACGGTTTCCCAAATTCTGTGGTGTTACATATATCGTTTATATACATAAGAAACAAAAGTGGACCTAATACGCTTCCCTGGATGACTCCACTGGTGATTGGTCTAGGGGACGAGAGACAGTCATTGTACTTTACCATCTGTTTACGTTCTGTTAAGAACGAAGCAAACCATGAGTACAGTGGGTTGTGTATTCCGAAGGACTTTAGTTTGACGAGTAGCCTTTTGTGTGGAACCTTATCAAAGGCTTTCTTAAAGTCTAGGAATAGGACTGATACAAGGAGTCCGCTGTCTCGTTTCAGAGTTATATCATTCAAGTAGTCTACTAGGCATGTATCGCATGATCTGGACCTAAGAAATCCATGCTGGGAGGTCGAGATGAGATTATTAGTTAGTAGATGTTGGACTACAGCCGCCTTAACTATTTTTTCCATCACTCTGGATACCACTGAAGTTATGTTTATAGGCCGGTAATTTTCAACGTTTGCTTCAGGTCCTGTTTTAATTTTGGGAATGATATGTGTAGTTTTCCAGGCAGTAGGGTAACACGCTGAAGAGAGTGATATCGCGAATAGTTTGAGAAGCGAAACACACATATCATCACCTCCACGTTTTAGCATGCTAGATGGGATACCATCTGGTCCATCAGTGTAGGAGTGTTTCAATGTACTGATTGCCTTGGAGATATTTTGTACACTGAATTCTACATTAGTAATTTCACAGGGAGTTACTGGGATTGGTTCTGAATCATTAAATGGTTTTTCGTTAGTTAGTGAGAAACAAAAATGTTCACTAAATAATTCTGTGATAAGTTTGGGATCTTCGTATACTTGTTTGCCTTTAATGAATATACTCCCTCTCGATTTAGAGCGTTTAAGTTTATTTTGGAGTAGTATGGTGAGTGCAGAGGAGTTATTATTAAGTTCAACTGCACGTTTTTCCTGTGCTACTGCTTTTTGTTTACTTATTGCCTCTGTTCGGACAAGTATTTCTGTCATCGTTACTAAAGAGGAAAAGTCATTTAAGTTGTGGAATCGAGTACAATGTCTTTGAAGACGTCTTCTTGTACTGACCGGTATATAGAGATCTTTGGAGAACGTAGGTTTACAGTATTCTAAAGGTGCGATGTTGTTGATGATACTTTTGATGTTGTGATAAAACATATTGGTTAATGTGTCGGTATTGTTTGAGGTAAAGAAAGTTCTCCAATCAGTGCTTCTTAGGTAATTGTGGAAGTTATTCCAATCAACCTTGCGATAGTTTCTACGAAGTGTTACGGTTTTACTTCTATCGGTTGTGGTTTTTACATTAAGGCTGCATATGACAATGTTGTGATCACTACCTGGGAACTTTTTTCCAATATACAAAGTATTGGGGATGAGGCCACTGGTAAAGACTAAGTCTAAGATGTTTTGATGTCTGGTAGGGCTATCGACATACTGAGTTGGGTCGGTACTAAAGGGTGTGAGTTTTCTTTCTGAGAGTAATTACAGTTACGATCCTGGGGAGTGTAGGTAGGGTGTGGAGTGAGAAACCTATTATTACCATTCTTATTTATGGTTTTAGGCTTCAGGGGGTGATTTGGGTGACCAGTTCTCTGGTAGTTTTCGTTAGTCTGCGTGTAGGAAGGCTTGCTACGTTGAAGCCCACCACCCTTTTTGCAACTTGGAGGTGTTGAAGGCAGGTTATACGATAGCAGCGGGGAGAACCTGTTCACTGTTCTTGGGATACCTATAGAGCAGTTGGGTTCAATCTTACGTGTTTCCCTATTCGGTATCATGAGTTTTGTCTTCCCACCCTTTATTGTCAGAGCTGGAGTCTTTCATTGTCTCTGTGAGATGAACTTACGTTCATTCAAGTCTACTTGTGGAATATCTTAGGAGGACAAATTTTCAAGTGTATAGGTTTAGTTGGATGTGTGTTGTTGCACGACTCACATTTTAGTACATTACTGAACGAACAGCTGGGATTAGTCATGTCGTTATGGTTCTTGGTGTCAGTTGGGGTCCGTATCTTATCCAAAGGTTTCTGATCTGTAGACTCATCTAGATCAACAGAGTGATCAGCCGTATGTGGAGTGGTGTCATGCTTTACATTAACCTCTTTTCCTTCTTATGCGATGATGTTCACTTAGGAACATATACATTCAGCAATTTCATAGCGTTTCCACAAATATTTACTTTAATTTCAACAGAGACAATGACTCAAACATTAGATGTTGCAGAAAATTCTTGGTATTTATTCAACATTAAACAAGCTGGATTTTATCGTGTTCACTATGCCGACAATAACTGGGAACTATTGACAGAACAGTTGTATAAAGATCACCGTGTAAGTAGTAACCGTTATTTGAAAAATTCTTAAGATTAATCACCTTCAAAGTCTGTATAAAGATAATTACTTTGATAAACTAGCTTATAATTGTGAAGTATCTGTTAACAGTTTATCCAATTGAACTCGTATAGACGTCACAATAATTATAATGATTCAGACTTAATAACATTTTATTTATAGCAAAGTAATATTTGAAATCCTTTTAGCCACATAGTGAACAATCATTTTTATTTTTATTGAGATCTTGAATCGACCAAAGTTAGACCATCATTGAAAACTTGAAAACACTGGACTACCGTTTCTTCCTAGTATTGGATTCCTTAGTAGTCCACATTTACGATCCCGCACGTGAGACCTGAACCCGTAATCTTCGTTCTCGAGGGAATCCTTGAACTCTAGACTACCAAGCTGACATCCAACGGTGTTAATATCTAACTTGAACCAATCCACAGTAACATCGACCGAATCATGGTCACAATAAAAATTTAACAATCTCCACAACTTTACTGATAATCACTTTGTATTTACTAAATAAAAAATTAATTGATTCGATATTTTCTGTGATTAGGCTATTCCACTTCATTCACGAACACAAATTTTGGATGACTTATTCAACTTAGCAAAGTAAGTGTACTTACCTATATTGATTGTTTGACATAATATCATATGGTATGCATTCGATTGAAATTAAAATTTTATTACTTACATATTTAAATGAACAGCTTCTTGTTACACGATCTTTGAAGGTATAAATCTATAAAACGTTTTATTGTGTTGGCCAGGAACTTCATATTAAATACATTAAAAGTATAATTGAATTGAATATATGCGTGGATAACTTAAGTGGTTTCCGAATTCAAAAGATGTGAAATATAAATAACAGATAATACGAACACAAGGAATGTTTGAGAATATATTTTTCATCAGAAGGAACAGCTAGGATTAATATAAAATAATGAGTTCGTATCACTCAAGTGAACCAAAGAGTTTAGACTAGGGATACTTTTACGGTGAGAAAAGTACCTAAAAAATAAGAGGTGTGAAAGTGTGACTGTTTTCGGACTTACAAGGAAGATTTCTTCGAGTTTATTCTCATCTTCTTCAAATACTGTTGCATATAAAAGGCTTTATCGTCTCTTCTTAGATAAACTATTAGTAACTTGATTTTAAATGCATAATGCTTTATGATGTTTACTGTTTAATGAACGAGAAGTGATGAAGGCTATATTTGTTGAACTATTATGAGTATAATGATAACAAGGTTAAGTAAATTTACTAAATTCTATTTGTGCATTGTTGACCGACTTGCACATCATTTATAAATGTCCACTGACCGTTTGTGTTTCCAATATAGTGACCGAAAACAATTCTTTTGTTTATTTATCACTATCGTGCAATTTATCCACTGTGAATCAGATTGTTGCTACCTTGTACAACCTTGTTACAAACCACAATTTTCATCATAAAACTAACAGCTAACACTTATCAACGTTGGATGGTTCTTCCGATTCAATAATGTAAAAATACTTTTTAATGTTTTAAAATGAAGATTTTATATTGTTAACAACTTCTGTAAAAGTTAGAAGTTCATTAACAGTTCTGTTGAAACTGTTTTTGTTTTGTTAAAGTTACTTATGGTTCAGTATGATACCTGTTAAATTACTTCAATAATAAATCAAACTAACCAGGTTATAGTCGTATATATGGAGTAAACTTGTGTTTATTTTTCTTGGTAAGCGGTAAATAGAAAACAATAATTTCATAACAAAGATGTAACGACTACTTTCAATCAGAATTAATCGTTAATAAAATAGAAACCAATGGAAATTCGTTGAAACCATCCGGTTAGTAATTAAAATCCACATGTGAACAAAATTTACTTCTATACATGTTAAATTGTATGGCATAATTAAACTCTATTGAGTTGACCTAAACAGGAAAACTAGTTAGAATTAATTAATTGATCGACAAGAATATAATTAGTGGTTACAAGAGTTTTCTACTGTGGCTTTGATTGATGAATGACCTAACAAAGATTTATATTACCTATTTCGTTTGCAAGTTTATCATCAGTACAAAATTATACTTTAATTATGTGAATTTACCATGTATACGATTTTTCTAAAATCTACCTTTTCTCATTATTAAATATTTAAAGTCGTGCTACTGTTTCATACGACGTCTACTTAAATCTGACAAAATATTTGAAAAAAGAAGATCAGTATGTTGTATGGGAAACGACTCGACGAGCACTATCTTATTTAGACCGTATGCTTGCCATGGACGAGAGTTATGGAGCTTTTCAAGCATATTTGCGTACGCTTGTAGATGATCCTCTTAAATCAGTCGACTGGACAACAATGAAAGAAGATAAACATCATATGAAGCAGTAGGTTACGTAAATGTTTTTAAACTGTGTTCTGTATCCATTTCATTAGATGATAACCAGCAAGAGTCTATGAAAATATGTTGCCTAGTGCAAACGAATATTATTTATTCCGATTTAGTGGAGTATGTTGGATACAGAATCCATAGAATGAGAGAAGCTGGTGAGACAAGATTTTATGGACAGCCTTGTAACGACTCTAAAATGACCTTGGAATGTCTACTTACTTACTTGGGTTAAATAAGTCTTATACATTAGTGTGAGGAATTAGGATTAGGATTTACATTTAGATGTTCTCGTTAGGAATTCGACTTAATCTTTTCATCACTAACCGACATGAGCTATAATACCAAACTCGTACAAAGCCAAATGAGCGAATGAACTTCGCGCCAAAATCTCACATATGTTATCTTAAATCTGGTTCATCCATCTATTATAGTCTCGCCGGACAAATAACCATGTTATCACTATTATCATATTAAACATATTCGTTCACTGTTCATAATTCTGACATGGAGTTACCTTCAATAACGTACGGGGTGTTTTTATATCGATATGTAATCATATTTATACTTGACTGTATACTTTCCCATTTGTATTTAAACACTATTCTGTGTGATGATACTGGTTTTATGATTTGATTCGTCTCATGAACAAAACAATGTAAGTTTACTTATTTGTCTCTCAATGAATGAAGTATTTCTTTAGGGCTAAATATCTTAGGATATATTTGGAAAAGAGGATGTTAAAGAAACTTGTCAGGTTTGCAATCTTAGCTTGCTCATTATCAATTGTACAAGCCTGACCCAATAAAAATGGTTGAGATAAAATATTCAGCTCATTCTGAAGGTAGACAGCCTATATTGTAAAATTAATTCTATGGCAATCTCGTACAAGCTTTTCAAGGAAATATAATCTAACATCAAAATTATCGAACATGGTCATACCAGTTGTACATTTGGTTCTGTGATTAACTGTATACTAATGAGGTCATCCGATCAACGTTATACAACCTTATGAGTAGGTATTCGCGTTAGTGTGTAAGAGACATGTGATGTGAGATGAAAAGTGTGTCAAGATAACACATTGTGTGTATTCGTAAGTGGTGTGAGAAGAAATTTCACTCAATATTTACCGCCTCTGATCGGTGAAATTTGAGAAAACATACAATTTTCCTATATTATATGAATCCAATAAGTTACATCATTCATAAAATGAAGATAAATAAACAAAATAAAGGGATGAGTGTTTATGTTAGTTTTATTATTCCAGTTAATTGTTTATTATATTCAGATTAGACAACTGATTAGAACAATTGAATGTAATTATTGTTGAAACTTCATTTATTTCATCGGTTGTGCTTGTTTTTTATTTAAGTATGTTGCGCCTGACATTAACTCGTCTAGCATGTCAAGCTGAACATCATTCATGCGTTAAAATGGCTACAGAATATTACAGAAATTGGATGCTTAATCCTTCACAAAATTTGTAAGTTACCTGTTGAACTGTTATGATTTTGAAATAATTACTAAGTGAAATTTAGAAAAATTACATTCTTAGACATGTCCTGCTTTGGATCTATTAAATGCAAGGTATTGGCGACCAACAAGTTGTATATCATTCACTTGTATTGACTGGTCCATATCTATGGAATTTGTATATCAGTTGTTAACTTGTGGATTGCTTCAAATAACTTAATTATTTTGTTTAGTTTTATTTCCGCGTTGAACGAATAAAGTTCTTTTTATAATAAAATTTGTGATATTGTTTACTCTACATGTAGTACTATCCATTATCCTCTAATTTTTCATCCGTTTTATGTTTAAGGATCCCACCAAGTTTGAGGCCAGCTGTTTATTGCACAGCAATTAGAATCGGTGGACAAAAAGAATGGGAGTTCCTAAAACAACGTTTATTAGAAGTGGATATCAAAGAGGATGAGAAAAATAGTATTTTACAAGCATTGTCTTGTTCTCGTGATATGTGGATAGTAAGACTGTGAGTTATATTACATTTTAGTAATCGCTGTTTTTTTCAGGTGCTTTGATAGTTCGTAGGAAGACGCTTTCATTATATGAGGTTTAGTGTTTTATGAGTAATCAATTGATTAATGTCAGCTTTCGGTCATCAGACCACTCAGTCAGCATTTATTAATGCAGCTAACGTGTTTGCTTATAATATTAAAATTTATATATTTCACCGATATGGGGTATTATGGTTTAAAATTACATGTAATGAGGCAAACTAATATTTAAAAAATGTTTAATGTATGATCATATTGAAGTAGCAACGCCGTAACAATAACCACTAGTTATGAGATATGTCCTTTCATTTAGCCTAACAAAGTTTGGAGTTCAAATAGCAAGAGAAAATAACAAAAAATGATTTATAAACTGTGTGTGATTTCAATCTGACACGACATTTATCGACAAACCGAGCAAAATTTGAATACCAGTATAGGATTGTGGAGATTGTTGAGTTTTGCTTAATTGGCATCATGAACTGATCAATGTTAGGCCACCATTGAATATATGGAAGTACTGGACGTCTGTTTCGTCCAAGTTTGGAACTCCTCAGCAGTTCACTGTCCAGTTCGTCGAAGCTTCCAATGGTTGTTTAATATTGGTCAGTTCATGCACCAAATTAAAAAAGTTTGAATAACCATTTTGCTTAAATAACAATAAAATATTTGTATCTCTTTCAAATATTCGATTACCTACTTCGTTTAGTTCCTATTACCTGAATAATTCAAAATTAAATACAAATAAATACTTTGTTGAAATCGACAATTACTTTTCATGTTATCGATAATTTAGACATTTGGAATGGGTCATAAAAAATAATCAAAAGGATCCTCAGGATTTATTGGATGCACTTTCATCTGTGGCAATGTATCCTATCGGCCAGACACTTCTATGGGAACATATTCGTGAAGCGTGGAGATTTATAATGAATGAGTAAGAATTATTGTAGATTAATGAATGTTCTTTAATATTTTAAATGAAAATCATTTCACCTACTTCATTAGTAATAACAGTATTAGTTTAACTATTCTGCGGAAAGATGATGTACGTTCTCAGAATTATGTGATATATTTGCACAACACATTTTGAGCACAAAACGGTGGCTTCAGTTTTTGTATAGTTATCACTTCGATAAACCTTAGTATATTCTCTTGAACACTTCTGGACAACAGTACAAACGCTGACTTGATATTGAACGTTTGATAAGTCTCAATAAAACGGTTCCCAGTGGAGGAAGATATTTGTCACTTCTGTGACCTTGTCTGATGCTTGGGATTCATTCGATTTCATAGCCAATTAGTTGTATACATCAACCCTTACCAGCAGATCGAGATTATTTCTCGTATTTATGTGTTTCAGCACATACATGTAAACTGATAGATGGAATGAGTTGTGGTACAATTAGTCACATGCTTTTTGAGTATTTTATAAAACATAGACCTAGAACTTTTGATGTTGATGAGTCCTACCATAAGACCATATGAGTTACCTCTTAATGGTGTAGTAATATAGACTCGCTTCTTGGATGCCGAGAACTTAGTAGTTCTTATTACATCTTTGTCATACCAACGCTTTATAAACTCAAGTTAGTAACTCTCATTCATCAGTGCTTCAGTAAAGACATTTACTTTTCTCTCTCAACTGCATCGTTAGTGCAAATTCGATAGATCCTTCTGAATAAGCTCCTAGTTAATCCACGTTTGTACTGGATTGAACATTGATTATAAAAAGTTAGATTCTATATACAGTTAATACAATTTCATGATACACGTAAAACTAAATAAATGTAACTGCAGATTTAGATCATTTGTCCCATAGAGAATAACTTGGATGTGGTTTCGCAACATTCTACTGAGAAGCTGTACTAGGTGGATTTCAGTCACATCACGAGTGAAGCAAATATTACCAATGAAATTGGATGATTTCCAGCAAAATATCGAAAATGAAGTGAAATTAATTTACAGACCATAACTTCAGACTCAGTAGTCTGAAAGTATCGTGTTTACCAAGACATCTAAAACATTTGTGTTAGATATTATCCAGAGTTGTTCCTGTGTAGTTCTGAATAATCCCAAACAAGCAAGAAGCAAGTGTTTAATGCCTTCATTATTTTGATAGTCATCGTCTAGACCGTGAAAAGTCTAATTCCTGTTAGTCGAATGTTTTCAAAGTCCAAGTAATCTATAGCTAATACATCGTTATTTCTCAAGAGAAAATGTATGGGTAAACCTAGCTTAAGATGATTGGTCTATCCTATTATCTCAGAAATAGTAAATACTCATTTAGAAATTTTCAATGCAAGACAAATCAAAATGTCATTAACATTTTCAATTGTTTTCAGAGGGAAAAACGCAACTCGCCCAACTGTTAAAGCGTAAGTTTCATTGCTTACCTCAGTTACAGAATGCTTTCTTATTGCGTTATACTTCGCATGTCCACAATTTTCATTCAGTTATTACCTTTGTATTCACTTGACTACTTCCAAATTGTTAAGTAGTATATTCAATAGTTTTTCATTCATCACTATTGGCTCAGATTTCCAAAGCATCCATTATTTCACATTACATATTGAATAATCCTACTTGACCACTTTTTCTACGTGAAATTAATCTGATAATTCTCTACATCACATTTAAACTATGATGGTTGTTAATGTTTAAAGATGATTACCAATGTAATTTTCCTAGATACATTTGTCGGTAATCGGATGTTGAAGATAGGAGACGTTGGTTGTTCTTAGTTTCTGAAATAACCAGAAGAATTTGCATAATTGAAAATTTTAACTGGCAATCGGTAACTTCTTCATTTTCTCTAGAGGACATTTGTTTCAATTTTCGAATCGATTAAGTTTGAGTTTTATATTTGTGAAGACAAAGTGTTTTTTAGAGAAACATTTAGATGAATGAATTGTATGCATCAATCTATTAAATAAATAAAAAGTTTGACCTCATTCCGATTTCAATAACGGAATCGAAATTTACATCGCTATTTATTGAAGAGTGGTAACATATTTCAGTAAATGATGTTTACGTAGTGTAAAAGTGTTAGTGACTAAATATTTCTATTCTGTGTTTCACTTATGTTTTACTATATTTATGTTTCTGTGATCATCGATTTAGTAAAAGTTTTACTTCAGTGTCACAAAATGTATCGCAGCATCTCGTCTCATTTGACTGAACGAAGCACGGTCAATAAATTCTCTATTCGCCCACTATATTGCATTGTGACATAAAATAAGATTGGTCCTTTTAAAGTTAGTATTTGATTCAGCCCAAACATAATTGAGATGCTTGCGAAGATGTGTGACGAAACTCAATCAATATTATCAGACACGATGCATATATTCATAATTTAATATCATAGTGGTAATTTATACCAGACGCATAATTCAAACATCAACTACAGTAAACGCATAATTATATCTTTTTCTTACCATGTGGCCACGTAACAGCATTTGATCTATCTGAACGTCTACTAACATCTGATTGGTTAGGTCAACCTAACATACCGTCTCTACCTTCAGAAAAGAGAGATTTTCGTTCATGTCAGTTAAGATGTGGAGACATGATCAGATTGTCATGTCGTCATGTGTTGACATTTCGATTTTCCTAAGCATAATGTTAAATTTGCTCGCTGTTCTACTTCACATTTTTTCCATACTAAACAATAAGCATTAATACCTTAGAATTATGTGGAGTCGGCACACCCCACATCTTCTATGTTGTCTGAAATGTTTAAAATAATGCTCAGCATTTTCATTACTTTCATTTGAGTGATAAATATTGATTTTTAAGACAGACTCCTATCTCTCCATTAGACGAAACAGACTAGAGGTTGACTTCCTAACAATTTTTACAAAATCACATTCGATTTCTAGTTACTGACAATGCACTAAGAGGGGTCTAACTGTTTGTGGAATAAAAACTTAAATTTAATTACACGTAATATAGATAGTCAATAAAATTAAGACTAGTTTGTACTACTCCATCTTATTTAGCGCTTCATCTGATGATCTCAATGACATTTGCAAGTATCACCAAACCGCAAACTCTGGGCGTAATAATGAGTAAGTAATACAATTGGTTTGCACAAAAACACTTAAAATTATTCCTTCCATCAACATTTGTTTCATCTTTGGACTGTCCAGTTTACCTTCGTAGATAATATCACATTAAAATTAATGATTACATTGGGTCTAATGAGAATTTGGCAATAAATCTTATTCGTTACATTAGAATCGTAATGAGAAAGTAATTAACATTATATCCATTGCATTACCAATAAAAGTTATTGATTTGCAATAATCGAATCTGCAGTTCCTTCATATCGGCAATCACTTTCATACATGTACGGAGTTTACACGCTGAATCAAGTATAGATAAACACAACATAGGTAACTCAAATGGCTGTTTCTGTACACAGTAAACTAAAAGTACCTAATAAAGTTAAAAATAGAAGAGTGGAAAGTGACGTTTTGCTTAGTGAATTTAATCGTGGAATTCATAATATATTTTCCAATGTCAACGAAGAACTAATGCTCAATCTGAAAGGCATATAGGCATTTGGATTTTGCTGACACATTTCGAATCCATAGGGTGTATAATAAGTATTTATGATTAGCATAGATCATGGTCTATTTGGAACAGAAGGAAACCTAAGTAGTGACTGCATTCTGTCAGTAATATAGGGAACAAGGTTTGCCATATTCTCGAATTTCCATCATCCAAATACTGTTTTTCTGTCACACTATTTCATATATCTTGGTAGGTAGTATTGGTTCTACAATACAAATATATTAGGTAGAATAACTTTGATATATATTTCGGAGTTCGTCCGCTTTTACCAGCAAGCAAAGTTTGGATATGATATATATATGTATATACTCGAGCAAACCAATTCTTTCAGTTCCGCATTGTTCAAGTAGTTTATGTATGATTTCAATTCAGCAATTACTTGCTTACTATCGCTTGTTATCTCTCGTTGAAGAGCATAGGATACTCACCAGGATTCTACATACAACTGTTACCTTGGTCATCCTTTCCAATTGTTCACAATTGCTATTCATTCTTTTGATGTCTGCCACATTTTCACTTAGCAATAATCCAGTTAAACATACTTGTTTATATTTAATTAAATTATTATGTTTTTGTGATTATGAATATACTTCAGCCTCATTCACAGTTTACATCAAACAACGTGTACAGTTACTGAACTAAAAGTTGTTGAGTTACTTGTTTGAAAATTTCATTATGAACAACTGACTATTTACCATGTAGCTGGAAAATACATTGACATGGTTTGTTTTGACATGAACGGAAGAAGAGTTTTATAGAGTTAGTAATACTTGTCATTTCACCACCTGTTAGTTCAAGAATGTTTTCCAGGTTGTATGGGGTTGTGATTCAGGAAATTCATTTCTAGCATTCAATCATCTTTTTATGTTTTTGTTGGTAAAACAACATCCATTAATATAGGCAATTCAGTTTAGTCAACTCCTGTTCGAATTGTTGATTGTTTAATGAAATCCAAATTATTAAATACTTTAGGTTATAATTCATAAAACTAAACTATCAACGGGATATGATAGTGTTAGCAGAATGGATAGAACATCAGGTAAGTGATTCTGCAGTCAATGGAAAATGTATCTAGATATGAATTACGTGTATTTGTTCTATTTTACAGGTGTGTACTAACTGTAATTCTTAAAATACTATCCAAACGTCATTACACACTGAATAACATACCGGATCAAGAAGAAGTTAGTTCAATATTTTCTTAAATTCTTATTAATTTTATAAGTTTAGTCACTAAGTATATGATGTTGAATGTTTTGAAGTGAAGGTTGTTTTTCTGTATAACACTCAATCAATAGCTATCACTGTTGTATATGAACAAGTTGAACATATAGACCGGTATAATCTTGAACTAGTTTAAGCAGGTACATTACTATAGCGTACACTGCAAAAAATAGTAAAAGACAGTCAACACCGATAAACCTTCAAAAATCTGTTTAATTGAGAAATTGAAAATATTGACGTTGTTTCAGTGGTGCCAATAAACCCTTAACAATTGGCTTAAGTACTAATCACTAGACATTAAGATTTTAGTGCACTTTTGGAGACAATCACATCGTTCTATCTAAACAAAAGTTATTTCTAGATTGATGACATTTTTCGATTTATATATAGACGGAATATATTGGTGTTTTGGATGTCTTTACACAGGAATAAATTTATATTTATGACGTGAAAGTTGTGCAGCTTAGTTGGATGAGCTGAGTGATGTGATTTCGTTAAGGTTGATAATTTAGTAGTGTTTTCATTATGATTATGGACACCGTCAGCCACATAAACTTTATTCGATGTGATAAGATATTACAAATCCAGGGAAGAGGTATTGTAACCACATTTTCTGACGGTTTATTAGTTGGTGGAGTTATCATTTCAAAGATTCCACTCAAGATGTATGCTTCATATCTTGGACCAACAGCAATCCAATTCACAGATTGAGGTGTTTTCACCCCATCCACCCGAACTGATTACTACCATACAGGTCGACCTCATTTATTTGGTAGTTATGAAGTTTTTGTTTTTCGAATTAATGAACACAAATGGCTGGCTTTTAATTCACTAGGTACTTGCCATGCAAAATTCTGGACAAAAACTACTTGAAAATCATGTTCTGAAACGTGGATTAAATGATTTGTTTAAAAGGTCGAAGGAAAACATGAAATGGACAAAAACTCATCGTGATGTTATCAGTAATTGGTTAAATAAAAATGTTCCCAATACAATCACATTACTTTGAATGCATTTCTTTCAGACTAATCAACAATTTCACTATTAGACAGTTTTATTCTGTTGAATTAATTGATTACTGGTTTGTCGATTCACAGATCTATCAATCGATGTGTTTATCAATTCATCTGCACTTGTGTCTTTGTAACAAAATACTCATTTTTCTCGTTTCTATCTTATTCAATGTTGCGTATTCATATTTCGGTTTTCATGTGGTCTTATTATTAATATTATTATTATTTTGAATGTTCTAATATCCATTCGTCACTGAAACGTATATACATGTGTACAATGATTCGATCGTACATATATTCATCCTACTATTATTGGCAATACACATTTTTCTTTATTACAGATGGACGAGAATATGTTTTATAGTGCAAAGATGATATAAAAATGGATATACAAGCTCAGTTACTTTATGAATAATTGCTATTATTGTTCCTATTATCGTTATTAGTATTGTTATTATTATTATTATTGTTATTGTTATTAATACTACTATTAATTATGATAGCTATTAACCAGAATGCATGCTTATCTGTAAAGGTACATTTGTTTAATTTTTATGTTCTGATAAAATTTTGAAACGTCAATCTGGTGTGTAACTAGTACTTATACTCCATAAAAGTGATAAGATTGTTTGTCTTCAAGTGTTTGTTCATCAAGATTTTGAAACTTATATATACATTAAATAATGTAATTTACATCCTCTTAGTTAGAGAAATTCTTTGGAGTTTTAGCGACAAATGTCCAAGAAATTTCAATTATGGCATATTCAACTGCGATTTGCTCTACCCAACAATCTGTGAATCCAACGTTCGAAGACTTTAATTTAATGTTTGTCTTTACTAACGTACTCTCTGCAGTATCGAAGCAGTTACTTCTGTATCCGAATTCGATGCTTCAGCTGGTATACTGTCAGGTCCTACTAATTTCCCACTCTTGATCTGTCAGATGATCATCATCCTGATTTTTTCAATCGTTGGTGGAGTGACATCTATGGGAAGTTCTGTAGCTGGTGCTTCGACGTCTGATGAATACAGATGGAGATGACTCATTCAGAAATTCTCCAGTGATCCACACATTTGTTACTCTATACGTGAATCAAAGTGATTGTCCTGCCTTCTGTATCCCTGCCTGGACTCCTCAGCTCCCTTATAAGTTATTCGTCGCGTAACATAGCTGTTCCACATTTACTTCACTTGCAGTTTTTCCGCTTTTGTAGCTAGGTCCTCCACATATTTCTGCTTGTCAGATCTAGTGCTCCTCTTCACGTGCTTGTCAACTCGTGTGCATCAGCTTGTGCCTTTACCTTATCTGTTCTTGTTCGGCTGTTGTTAACTGCTGTCTTCTTCTTATTCCTATCTTCAATCTTGTCTAGCGTTTCGATAAAGATCCTGACACGTTGAAATTTATACTTGTTCGATCCCTTTCTAATTGTCCTCCATCGTAGTTTTTCTTCTTTCAGTAGATCGTTTTATGCTTCGAACCTGTTGTTGAGAGTTAACTTGAATTTGTTTGGCTTGTCAGTAAGTCAAAAAATGTGTGTTTTGAGCATTTATGATGCTGTTACGCAGCTCTATATTGCTTCATTTGCTACAATTTCACCTTGGTTATTACCACTTGTTGACTTGAGGCTGTCAGCTCTTCTGATTCTTTTGCTTTCCATTGAGCTTGTGAAATTTTACTGATAAAAATACGGGCAAACTGGGTGGTCAAAATGTGATCCGGAAAGATCAATGCAGATATGTGAATGCGCGAGTGGGAGAATATTGTGTCGCCTATAACCATTTGGTTGACTACGCATAAGATTTCAAATCTGACAGTATTTTTGTTTATTTCTCACGGAGCATTTCGTCCGTAGATAACATAATACACTGTGTTGAAAAATCCGACTTCGGCGTTAAACCATACTTTAGGACGGTCAGGTGTTTCCATATAAATAAACACTAAAGTGGTTCGCACGTAATATTTCACAACCAAGATGTACACAGGGTTCTTGAGTTTAGATAAATGTCTACCAACGACAATATCATGTATAAGTATCACACAGTGGTTGGTACAATTCTCTTTTATAGATATTTTGCTGACGAATAACAATTAAAGTCACAGATAAAACGTGATTTCTTTAAAAGCATTTAACAGTTCGAAACAATGTCACGCCTACAGACCGTGATCTCAACTTGTAAGAATAAGTTCAACGAAATGAATCTTGTCTAGTGAACTGTTGACCTTCAAACAGTGTTAAGTTACATGACAGTGGTCATATGCAGTGTTTGACTTAATTGCTTGACTTTTGTTGTTTCTTTTAAAAGCATTTGTGAATGCTGGTCATTGTTCTCCCAAACACTCTACATTTCTTTCTTCGGTTTACGACCGTTTTATAGCACGAGGACTATTAAGCCCATCCGACTTCAAACAGACGGACGGCAGCCGGTTGAGCATATGTAGGATTCTTAATTTTTCAGTTTTTATTTGTTGGTTGACTGCTGTCACTTTTCACAGTTGAAATCTGAAGCTCTCATGAATGTCGTACGGTGTTGTATATTTTATGTGCTTGAACTGGCCATATCTGGAGATCATATACATGGAAACAACCAAACTATGTGGATTCCTATAAACCTCTAGATGGGTTGGCATTGGCGAAGTTCAAACAATTCGAAACAGTCTGTTCTGATTCACATACGATTTGACATAACAGTGAACATCTCATTAATTCACTTCACAAAGGCTGATGAGATAAAATTATTGATAAAATTAATTGTTCTTCTCAATGAGGGATACGGCTAACAGTGTCTGATGTTATATTCGATTTAAAGATTTTTAGTAAATATAGAGACAGAATACATTATGACATTGTACTTGGTTGTTACGAATGTTGATACTAATATAGAATCCATTACTTCGAAACTCCAATCTTGAAAACTTATTTGAAACTAGTAACCTAAGTAAGACACATATTTGTGCTAAACGTTTATGGAGAATAGATATTTTCTGTATGAAACTATCGGAGGATAAGTCTACTCACAATTGCGTCCAAACGATTAACTTCGTAATAATTCATAGGTTGTTCAAAACCCGACAACGATTGACTCGCGAGGAGCAGGGTGGTTTTCGTTCTGGTCTAGGATGTATTGATCAGGTCAATTCACGTTAAGTGAGGGCCAGAGCGACTTTCGCCGATCTGGGCCATCTGTGACGCCTTCATGATGTTAGTCTGACTGTTAAAGTTTGGATTTACAACGCGTCGATGAGATCAGTCTTGCTCTATGCTTGTGAAACCTGACCTCTCCGAGGTCAGTATCTCTGATCATTGTTGTCTCCGAACGATTGTTGACATCCAATGGCAACACCATGTTAGTAATGCAGAGGTTCGGCATCATGTGTTCGTGCACAGCAACGATAATTCAATTAGTGTCACTATCTTGAAACATCGACTTCGGGGGCTTGAACATGTTCTGCAAATGTCGTCCCAGAGAATTCCTCGTTGTGCATTATTCGCCGACGTTGGGACTGGTTGGAAAAAGGAAGCGGTGATCAGTGTATAACATGGTGTCGTGGTATCAAAGAAAGCTGCAAAGGGTTGGCTTTTTTGGTCCTTTACGACTCCTTGGTTGGGGTGCTAGAGATGGCGCAACACAGTGGCTAGACACTTTATCAGATATGGCTCAAATTAGAAGTCAGTGGCGATTCTGCTGTAACCTTCGTTTACTTTCTTCATAAAAAGTGGCCGTAACTCCTTTATCTGAAAGAATTCTTTCACTACCATAAACTAATTTATAGTCTTTATTGTTTTTATTCTTTTTATACACACACTACATTCTTTATCTCTTCCCATTCTCATTGATACTGTGTGGTGCATATGTATCTTGTGCCTCTTGTACCAATATTTATGTGTTCAAATAAATAAATGGATAAATACTCATTAGTATTCAAAGATATAAGTCTATTTTTCATTCGTTCTAGTTTTACACCGTTATTTTAGTTCACTTATTTACTGATACATCTATGGTCATTACGGTATTGAATTGACCATGTTGCGCGTGTCTTTGTTGAGAATAGGGTGATTTTAGTGAGGCTATCACTCTAAACGTGAGTTTCGCAATCCAAGCAAATTGTTTATTTATTATGGGACCACTCATTATTTAAACATCTATATCTGTGAATAAATATTCAGAGGTGCTAAACCGTTTCCTTACTTTGCTTACCGCATCTGAGTTGTTCTAGTGTTTCTGGTAGTTTGTCAAACAGTGATAAAAAGACACATATTCTATCAGAAACAAGTTAATGAGAATGTGGAATTTCAATCAAACCATAAACTGTTCAGTGTTGGAATACCAATGAACAATTTAAATCACTGTACGCTCGTTTCGTCCTAACATGCGACATTTCTGAAGAACACTTCTTCAAACATCTCCATGAGGATCGGACTCGGAGCCCTTGGTCTCGTGCATGAACTAATGTATTAGATTTCCACTGTTAGTCTGTGAGCAAACGAGCGGATTTTTTTAGAGACTGATGTGGTTACCTATTGAAGTCAATGGAGATGGTCGCCCAATATCGTGGACGGGTTGAGGTTGTTCTAAAACACCGTTAGATTCCGTCCAATGGTTTAGATGTTGGGCGCGCGTGCGCATGACTGAATTTTCTCAGCTCGATTCTCGTGGACAGGGTTGTGGATGTAAAATCCTGAAATGCTCATTCTACGAGGAAACGACAGTCCACTGATTTTATGTTTTCAATAGTGGTCTAACACTGATCGGTTCATGATTTCAATAGGATGAACATTTTATGATGATTGATAATTATTTTGCGTTTGTATACAAATTCATAGTTAGGTCAGAACAAACAATATTTTCTCGTATTCTCATGTTGTCCAGAATTCATCTATCCATCAGCTGAAAAGTTAAGAATCCTACATATGCTCAACCGGCTGCCGTCCGTCTGTTTGAAGTCGGATGGGCTTAATAGTCCTCGTGCTATAAAACGGTCGTAAACCGAAGAAAGAAATGTAGAGTGTTTGGGAGAACAATGACCAGCATTCACAAATGCTTTTAAAAGAAACAACAAAAGTCAAGCAATTAAGTCAAACACTGCATATGACCACTGTCATGTAACTTAACACTGTTTGAAGGTCAACAGTTCACTAGACAAGATTCATTTCGTTGAACTTATTCTTACAAGTTGAGATCACGGTCTGTAGGCGTGACATTGTTTCGAACTGTTAAATGCTTTTAAAGAAATCACGTTTTATCTGTGACTTTAATTGTTATTCGTCAGCAAAATATCTATAAAAGAGAATTGTACCAACCACTGTGTGATACTTATACATGATATTGTCGTTGGTAGACATTTATCTAAACTCAAGAACCCTGTGAACATGTTGGTTGTGGATAATGCTGATGATAGACATTTTGACTCAACACATCACTGTCTATCTCCACACCCAATACACGCAGAAACGTTAGCCATTCCAAATTTAATACGGTCAAAGAAATCATTCATCATCTTGATAGTGTTGATTCTTTCGTTTATGTTAGTCGATGATGCTTCAGCATTGAGCAGGTCTAATTTTTTTGAATTTGATTCGCAGTATACAAGTATGCATATTTCAATTAATTTTTATTGTGTTTTTGACCTAATGTCTGAAGATTTATTACCAATGTCATTATTATTACGATGCAGTGGCTTGAGCATTGAAACTACGTAAATATTTTATCGCGTGACTAGCAGAATTATAAATAGAGTGCTCTTTAATCATTCGCAGTCTCGTTGAATGGAGATCTGCGATCTAATCTTTTATCCATATGGTTCACAAATTAAAAATTCTTATGCTATGTCACGTACTCACTGTAAACAACGAAAGATCGTCGCCCAATATCGTGGATGGGATGAGGTGGGTCTAAAGCACCGTTCGATTCCGGTACAGTGGTTTAGAGATCATTCGTTCGAGCGCATGACTGGATTTCCTCGGTTCGATTCACGCGGATATGGTTGTGGATGTAAAATCCTGAAATACGCATTCTAAGGGGAAACGACGGTTCACCGATCTTATGTTTTCAATTGTGGTCTGACATTGATCAGTTAATTACTTCAGTGAAATTCAACAATTTTTACCACCCTCAACGTTGTGGTGTCAAATGAAATTTTTGAATTATGATCTAAGCGATTGTGATGCTTTTATTACCATACGAAATGCACCATATTGATGCAATGTTTATCATTATGAAAATACTTGAAACACACGAAATGATAACTTTTTCATGTACCCTATTTTGTATGATGCAACATAGTTCGTGAGCGATTAACAACAACATAAATTACACATACATTATTGACATTTTAGTTTCAGTTGTCTTCGGCTCAAGATACACCAAAATCAATTTGAATATGCTCTAATGACTGGTTTTATTGAGGGTGTATAATATAAATGAACTAGGTAGAGGAAAATGCTTCATTTTCATCTGAATTATAGTACGATCTAACCGTGAGCTGAGTTGACTAGCTCCTTGGTGTAATGAACAATGTTGTGTGAACAGTGTTCACTCATTGATTATTACCGATTCATGAACAATACTCATTCTCCTTCAAACGTTTGTTTTAGATATGGTAACTACTAGTGTAACTGAAAATATCGGCGATGACAATAATGTGTCGATTCATCCATCAGAGGATTTTAGATTACCACGCACATTGTTTCCACATTTCTACGATTTGTCAATTCAAGTCCATTTGCATGATAACAAGTCACAAGCATTTTTCTTCAATGGATCTGTGACAATAAAAGTTTTCTGTAATGTGTCGACAACCGAGTTCTTCGTACATGCATCCGATAATCTGAATGTGAGCTTGGATCAAATCCATGTAAGCTATAGTATCCTTTGTTCAATGAACTTTTTATTTTGACTGTTTTTCATTGAAAACTGGAATATCTCGCTGAACTAAATAAATTGACATTTTGATAAGTTGTAAGTGGACATTCAAATGTCTTAAGCAAGTAAACCTGGAAGTCGATAACATCGTGTGAATGAATTAATAATGTTGTTGTCTCTGTCAACCGAATTTTACATGATCGACCAAATGTCTACCACGTATGTTATACTAATATGACTGTTAAAATTATTATCCATCATTAACTGAAATTCAGAACATAGATGAAATTTATTCATCAAAATGCGTTTTCAGAATCATCATTTATAATGGTTTATTTCACAGTGATTCAAACAGAATTTCGACTAGACTGAAATTCAAGTAAAAACTAACTTCTAATTAATTTTCAATTATATTGTAGCGAACAAAAACACCAGTGGGGACAATCGAATGTATTAGTTAGGAAATTACGGAACTTCTTATTAAAATCTAACAACAATATAGTAAGTGCTCAATTTGCAAAATGACCATCAATTGTCCCAAAATGACTCAGACCTCATTGTTCTTGCATTTTCATAGAAATTTGAATTTATTCAGGGAATCAACCAATTAATTTTATCAAATATCATAAGATTATCTAATGACTCACATGAACTCGGCGCCCAAATATTGTGAAACCATTCGTTCAAATTTAGACGACAGTCCTTATTTAGCATAAGATTCTATATTCAAGATCCAAAACGGATCCCTTGAAAATACCAAAATCACCGCTTCTAAATAGTTCAACTAAGAAACACATTAAAGACTAAATCCACTTGGTATTTTTTAACTTGAATGTTCCCATTGATGTTTACAACTTCAATAGATCATTCTCTTATATGCACATATACATAATGTGCGTATTGTATGGATATTGCACGAATCCATGAACATTATAAGCAAGGATGGATAGTGGCTAGCAGTGGAATCCCGGACGCGCGTTTGTGTTATTCGGGACTCGTCAGCTGGATGCACCGTCCACCAGCATTCCACATCCAACTCTATCATAAACAATCCTTTCCAGTTCTTTCCACTCCCTATTCGTACAGTTAGTGTTTTCTTCTAATACTTGATTCAGTGTGTTGTTTGGTCTTCCTTTCTTCCGTCTCCATTCACGATTCCAAATTAGTGCTGACCTCGTGATGCAGTTTGATGAAATCCACAATATATGTCCTATCCAATTCCAACGTCTTTTCCTAACGTTCTGTCCACTTGGAAACTAGTTTGTTATTCATTTTATCTGGACAAACAATATTAAGTACCTCTTGAAGATAATTGTTCATAAATGTTTGTGCTCTTTTGATGATGGTTGTGATAGTTATCCAATTTTCAGTTCAGTGCAATAGGACTGTTTTGATGTTCTGTCCAGGTTGAGTTCAATGTGATTCACTGAATCTGAATATCACTCCTCATTTCCGTAGCTACTTAGTCAGTTCTTCCGGTCTCCCCTATTGTCCATACATTCCATGTAACTATACTAATAGTTGCTCTGTTTGTTCTGCCTTCTGAAGAATACAGGTCTTCACCATGTGGCATCCTAACTCTTCTAGTTAAACATCCCGGTTAGTCATGTTTTACCAAGGTTGTTTTCTGTGGCCAAACCTATACATAACACTCCTCATTTATTCGGGTTCGCAACCAGGAGTAAACCTAGAAGAGCTACAGACAGAGATATTTATTGCCGAAAATAAAAGATTTTTGTTCGCATTATTCTTCTTTCACTGTAGTGAATCCCACTTTCTACATAAACGGAAATAGATTACCATCTATTCAAATGTGAATTTTCTTTCTGATCGAATATAAACACTGTCACTTTACATTAATTCCCGTCTGTGCTTTTTGAAAACAGATGTCGCTTCTTGATGAACGAAATCAAACAAAATCTGTTATTGAAATAATACACGTTAATTATATTGAAGATGCTGAGTGTTATCGAATTAAACTCAAAACGCCTTTGCAACCATATACTTATTACAACCTGACATTTGGACAGTTTCGTTCTGACATGGACTATGATTCTGATGGACTGTATATTAGCAGATATTTGGAGAATGGGATTTACAAGTGAGTCTCGATTTAAGACATATATGTGCAGGTTTATTTGGTATCGAGTGCCAACTCAATGGTGACCGCGAATAACAATTATTTGCATACATACTTGAACGGCAATAATCAACGCTTAACGATCACCTCATAATACACGTTTATTTGCTCACTGTGTTTCGGTTAGAGATGCATTTATTCAGTGCTAACTCGACAATGAAAATTCCTCTCTAGGAACACAATGTGTGTCTACTGATGTGTGACATGTTCTGTAGTCATCATATCGTAACTATGATCAGTATTATTACATGGTTTACAATTCCATTTGGTTTTCCATAGACACATAGGTACTGATACTAATAATCTGTGGAAGGTTTAGAAAGACTGGTGAATTTTTGCTGCCTTGTCAATATAAAATAATACATGTGGATTATTCCAAATAGCGTATAGAATTGTGAAGCACTCATCATCAAAGATGAGTCAAAACTTCTCACGGCAGCGAAAATATGATTGTGTAGATGTACTGAGCAACACAGTGGATGACACAATGACTTTCCGAAATAAGTGGACTATATGAACGGCAACTCGTCAGAAATCACAGGTGACATGCTGGGCATGATATCTCTTTCCAGACATTTCTCTATGTTTGAAAGCACATTTTTAAGCAACAACTATAGGATATGAGATATGTACTTGTAAACAAATGTTCACCGTTATACATATATTTCAGATATTTAGCAAGTACTTACATGGAGTCAGTTTATGCAAGGAATGTATTTCCATGTTGGGATGAGCCGGAATTTAAAGCAAATTTCAAGGTATGGTATATTTGACCTTTATTTCATTTTCATATTTTTACGTATGATTTGTGATCTTTTGTGAATCCGAGTCAGTTTTTATTAGAATGCAAAATTATTAAACCAAGTGATGCTTTGTGATTTAAATGCTGTGTGTGTGATATGCGAACACCTGATTGATGATAGTGATGAGCTTAGCTTACTTCAGTCATCTAAGGAAATACATTATTAGCTAAATTGATTAAATCGGTTCATGACCTCGTTTTACCAACACACTTCAAAATTTATTGATGTGTATCATGTTGTTTGAAGGCAACTGGTTATCTGTTAAAAGGCACATATACTAAAACCGATGTACAATGTTCTTATGAGAATTTACTGAAATTAATCTAGTCGAATACAAGCAGCGACAATCCAAAATAACGTATTCTCTTCTGAAACGTTAGCGTATATAATGACAGCAATACATTTCTTGCACTAAATCAATGTACAGAATTGAGTTACAACACTCCCTATCATCTACATGTTACCACAAAGCTCTCCATAAACCATGGGTAGGTAACCAGTGTTGATAAGTCTTAAATGGCAGTATATTTATATTTGTTTCATACTTATGTGCGACGAAAACTGCAGATGAATATCAAACATTCGCAGATGGCACTCAAGATCATATGAACATATAGCCTATTCAGTATGCAACATGTTTCATTCAGACAACAATTCCACGATTGCCCAATGAGTAATCCATCAACTCAGTTAGAAAATTAGTTTCCACATGAGTTAAGGATTTCCAGGTGGTTATGTGATATATTGCTAAATAAGCACGATAAGAATCTTGAATTGTTTTAATTGGGTAAACATACCACTTATTATTCGATAACAAATTTCTCACGTTTGTATCTTTCAGGTCAATATTGTACGCGATGAAAATTTCCATTCGCTTTCAAACATGAATTTGGAAAGTACGGAGGTGTTGTACGATAATTGGCGTGTCGACAGATATAACACCAGTGTGAAAATGTCCACATATCTGTTGGCATTTGTAGTTTCACAGTTTTCGAATATTCAGAGGACAGACAATAGAGGACGAAACGTGAGTGTTATCAATTACACAAACGCTTTTGTAACTCTCCATGCAATACTTTCGTAGTGTATCGAAATCATGTATATCCAGGAATAACCACCATGAGATTGCATGCAACCGATCATCCGAGACGGTTCGGGATATACGTAGCTCCACGTTACATACATACTAGCATTCACTGTGAAGTAGTGGCAGTTCCTGGATGTTTCGAAGTTATGTGAACACACTTAAAACGCCGCAGTGATGGTAGAAACTAAAACAGAACACGTGAATAGAGGATGTTCCATACACGTATTCAAAAGCACAAGCATTGTTTGACGGTACAAGCCATTGTTTTAACAATGCTGAGTTCTCTGTGTGTTTCAATCAAATCAAAGTGGTTCAATCACTCGTGACATTGAAAACAGTCTTTTCTATCAAGTTGTAGCAATAATGACTTGAAGTTCATTTAATTTTTTCATCAGACTGATCCATTTCTGGATAAAATAATTCTTTCATTTAGTTCACTGTTTGGGCAAGACCGGATAAAATTCGTTCAGCCGAATATGCACTTGATATTGGCATAAAATTATTGGGTTACTTTGAAGATTATTTTGGCATTCCCTATTCACTTCCTAAAATGGGTAGGTATTTCACACAAATGTGTTTACGTTTAATATATGTGTAATTAAATACTGTACAATGTAAACTATGCAACCAAACAATAAGATCTAAATAACTGAAAGAGATGCATGATCAACCAAATCCGATGTTATTTTATTTAGGCTAATTATATTTTGAACTGGAGTGGATTGAATCATAACAAATATATTCAATAAATAAATAATACATTTGTAATATCCCAATGAGTAGAAACATTAAATTTTCTGATATATCGTGACTCAATGTAAGTCACTTCTTCAGAGAATAAATAACCACATCCAAAACGAAAGTATTCAGCTATTTAACTGAGGTAAATATTTGCATACATATTGATGTGCATAAGTAATCCATTTTATTAAGAATGCACAACAGTGTATGTATGTATTTATATATGTATGTATGTATGTATGTATGTAGGTAGGTAGGTAGGTAAGTATGTATGTACGTATGTATGTAATTAGAACCGTTTACATTTGCAATATATCTTCCATCATGTTTTCAGATATGATTGCGATTCCTAACTCTTCAATAACGGCAATGGAAAACTGGGGTTTGATAACTTATGATGAAAATGTAATGTTATGGGACGCAGAAAACGGTTCAATAAATACTTTAATTGATGTGACGTTTTTTGTCTCACATAAACTTGCTCATCAGGTATGCTTTTAAACGAAAAACGAAATGTTAAATTCACTTTTAATATCTTTTCAATTTGATGATCGTTCGAATCATAAACTTACACTACTTGGAAAACAAACGAAAACTGATTCATTGTAGTTTTTCACTGCAGCAATAACATTACACAGGATGTCTGAGAATTCCGGCTAGCTAGTTTGGTTTACTTCATTAATTTGGTATCTGATAATACAGGTTTCTAAATCTATTCATTTGTTGTTCATTGTTGATAGATGTGTTAAGTAAAATAATTATTCGAATGATCCAAGAGATTTCTTAAATTTCTGTTGCTCATTCATCACCCCATATGTCATTATTACCCAAATTCGGTTTACTGACAAGCTTAGTCACTATTTTCGCTATTTTACATGTGGTTATATTGTAAATATAACACAATTACTGCTCCCATGTAATCAATTCTCACTAGTTGTAGTCGAACTCAATCAGTTACTCATTTTCACTACACCATTCGCAATTCTCTTACAACTAGGATTCAGGAACGGAATATAAGATGTCATCACAATGTACAAGCATTGTTTTCAACAATATAAGTATATGAACTTATGTAAATATCGAAATCGATTGAGCAATCCGAATATGTTACGTTTATCAGCTTTCAATTTAAACAATTTTCTTTCAGTGGTTAGGAAACTTAGTTACAATGAAATGGTGGGATAACTTGTGGTTGAACGAAGGCTTCGCAACATTTTCGAATACATTGGAGTACAGTTACTACATCCTGAGTGGAAAGTAGTAAGTTGAGTGTTTTCTTTGAGGATATTATCAGTTCGCTGTTTCATTTTGTACATGTCACTTGTCATTTCAGAAATTGTTTTTACATAACCTGTACATGCTGCATAAAAGCGGGTATTTATAGACGAAGTTTTGCATTGCTCAACACCACACACACAGAATGTTTAGCAAATTACATAAATTCCTAAAATTTAAGATTTCTTAGAACTCTATTTCATTCATCCAAAATGGTAATTTGACTTTAATTCAATTAGTGGGCATTGTTTGAATTCACTCTGTAATAAGGAGGAAGAATTTAATCAGTCTTCAGATGGCGCCTGAAGAATTCACAACTACTGAGATAATTGATGACCATTCACTAAATAATAGCGGATGTATGAACAAATCTAGTACGCAGTATGATTATATTCTGGATAATATTCTTATCAATAAAGATGATTTTTTTCTTCGATGAATAGGATGAACTATTCATACTGGATGAATTGATGCTTGCACTTGATATTGATACTTCGATGGAATCAAGACCAGTCGTTTATCCAGCAAGTACCACAATACAAATTAAAAATATGTTTGATTTAATCACCTATGATAAGGTTAGTTGTGTATTGGCTGTTAATTTTCATCAATTATTGTATTTTAATTTTTCATTCTATTCTAATGATCGTCAAAGAAATCATGATATCATGCAGAAGAATGATATTTCTCTCAACGAGTAACTTTAAGTGTTAAATGTGTTCCAATGTTCTAATACAATGGCATTTGAATAATGATATGTTTTTCGTCATGTCAACCTTATTAAAAGCACTATTAGTAGGCTGAGGCAACAGATCGGATTTTCATAGCTGAATTCAAAAGTCGTTCTAAGCTCGACCACCATTGAAAACCTGAAAGACCTACTGAGGATTTCTATACTAGGACCAACCGACCATCCAGTGCTCACAGGTATTCAGTAGTGATTTAACTTAAATCGACTCATGAGTTCAACTGTAAAAATACTACAATCTTCACAAAATCCCACACTGCTGATTTCAGATATCAATCTAAACACGATGAACATGACTACTACTACTACTACTACTACTACTACTACATTTGTTCATTTCAAGATAAATATAACCTTCGAATTTCACACATTGAATCCATGTGGCGCTTCAATGTATATTTATGTCAATAACTTGCTTGAATAAACTGAGCTGAATTCGGTGAACAAGTGAAACAATAGACGAACTCAAACAGGCAGTGATATCTTAACTGTGGAAAATGACATCAGCTATTCGGACACACAATATTGAATAATCGCTGTACTTAAAAATGACTATTTAAAATCCTCCTTTACCGTTTGTGCAATATTGGTTGAACTTTGTTGATATGTTTGACTTCTGAAGTTGACAGTTGACCAAACAGATGAACAGCCTTTTTCCAGCTCTTAGAGGAACAAACCTGGTATAAAACTGAATACATGAAACTGGTCTACTCGAAAGTCTGGTCAAATAAACTATTTGAACCTGTGACTAAAAATTCTGAAAATGAAGATATTGCGAATAAGAACATCATATATGGACGAACATTATTCCTTCCAAATAGATCCCTGTCTGATTTGACTCTAATATACAGCGATGTTTATACGGATGTACGAAATTATTGAACCAATCAAGGGATTCGATGAGTCGGTGATTACAGTTGAGTAGATTACACAAATAAACATAATAATTAAGGAGCACGAATTAATGGTGTGATGACATGTACACTAGTTGTGATAAGAATATGAAAATCTCGAATCCATGCTTCACAATCGGAAATAGCTGAATGACCTGAGAAATACAGATGCTCAAATAACGTCCATAAAAGCTGTAAGATCATGCAATCACACGTTTTCAGATAATTGGACAATGAAGCATATATTTAAGAAAAAAGTGAACATGGAGGTGGAGAAAAACAAACGATCGATGAATATGAAAAATAATAGTGAGTAAAATCTCCTATTGACCCTAATTCAGCCAAGGGAAAGTTGAGGCTGTTACAAATTTCTGCTGACAACCACTTTCACTAGAGGTTCTAAGATTCGAACTAAACATCTTAATATTGAGAAACTCGCTATTCACAACAATTTCAACACATTTCTAATTAGTCATAAATAATGCTGTGTAACTGATTGATGTATCCAAATATATGGGTACACTCCTGACATTCGAGATCATGAAGTTCATTATTCTCTAATATTTGCAATTAACAGAATTGTGTATGTTTTAAGAAGATTACAAACAAAATTTCAGTGATGTTTAAACTTGAATTTTATATCTAGGTTAAGACCACGAAAACCAGTATTTTATTTACACGATAGAAAGCAGTCACCACCTGAATGATTGCATAGCATTTGTCAGACCAATGTGAATGAAACGACTTCTAATTCAGCATTACGAAACAGTCCACAAGTAATTACAATTCTCCAAAGTTCTTACGTGAATTACCCAAGCAATAGTATACGGTAATCTCCCACTTTGTGTGAATCCATTATAATGCGAAAGTATTTAGTGTGACATATTCTATTCAAAAACAATAATATTCCTAAGTGTGTCTTGACTTTGTTGCATCCTATCTTCGACTGGACGCAAGTTAATTGACTAATCAATCTAAATTATCTACACATTCATTCCGTGTTTCATATATATGTTAATATTCTATATTGCATTCGATAATTCACAGGGCGCCTCTTTGGTTTGGATGATGGAGAAATTCATGGGCCGTAGCGCTTTTCAAAACGGTTTGAAAGTACGTTGACAGCGGTTATTTTGTTGTAACTGAGTGTTATATAATCTAGTCTCAACGGTCACATTCAATGGTGAACTGATTTCTTTTCGTTGACTAAGTATTTTCAAAGTTCTCTTCGAGACTTTCCAATACGCAGAGTCCTCATATCATTTGCTTAGCTATAACTCAGTATGACGTAATTTAACAGAACGCAGTAATGATTGATCACCACAGTCATCAACACACGTACTCCTTGGAACGCTGTAACACGTTTTTATCAACAGGCAGTGTACTTAATAAACAACTTGAACTCGTATGCCGTCATGAACAAATGGAAAATGTTTTTAAAATTAAATGTTGTCTGACCAACTCATGAACCATATTTGTTATAGCTAAATCAGTGAGATATTTTATATCAAGTCGGTGTAAATGTCGTTACAAACAAATTATGCTAAACAGACTTCACTCACCATTATATCTGATAGATCGTTGGTTGAGATTGTATCCCACGTAATTATGTACAGTACATCTGTCACCATTGGTCATCACTTGCACTAGGGTGAGTGATTATTTCTGAATATAAAATCGGTTTGGAAAATACAAAATTAGTTTTGGAGTACTTTTATCGTGATCATTTCAAACGTTTGGTGTTCATAATGATAAGAGAGATCAGTGTATGTGACATTTTGAAGGACACTTGTTGAACGATCATCCATTAAATCGTCGTGTTTATTCTCTATTCATATATACTCACCGGATTGCTGCTTGATATTTTATTCATAAATATATATAAATATATATGGCTTGATCTTAATTTTACTGAAAAGTGTCCATTGGCTGAACTTCTCGTTTTTAATGGTCTAACAGCCATGTGATAGGGACATTAGTATACTACAACAACACTGATTCAGTGATAAAGAACACCAACCATAACTGATTTGTGGATTTTAGATGGTAAAGTTCGGTTATTTCTATGACGTTCACCAACCTCGCTTCAACATTATTCTTATTTTGATTGTGGGTGGTATTCTGGAAGAATGCAGAAACACAACACTGAGCTATAATGTTTGCTGTCTAGGCTTAAATCCTATGATTAAATTCATGATAACTTGCAAATTGTAATCCGGAAATGCTCTTTATAGTACTTTTTCTGTGTTTGTTTAAGAGATACTTAATTCAAAACCAATATAAGAACACAGATGAAAAGGATTTATGGAAGGCATTATCTGAAGTAAGCATTTGGTGATTATTACATTAATACAAAAACATTTGGTGTAATGCATTTTGTTGTTGGGTTCTTTTCATAATTTCTCCTGATCTTCACGAATTTTGTTATTACTGAACAGAGATATCGCCTTGAAATATATTTCAAAAGAGATCAAATATTTATGGTATCATCTAATGAATAATCTCGTGATTCACATTCCTATGTATTATCTGTTCACCCACACTGTTCCTACTTATTCTTTGTTGTTATTCTGAAAAAACATCAGACTCTATGTTAGTAGTAGTGGGAGTTTCATCTATTGATTCATTCCACCGATTGTAATTACAGTGTTCGAACCTCAATAATCGGTTTGTGTACGTGATCATGCTTGAGCATGCTGAACTAAATTATTCATCCACCTACAACATTCCGAATAAATGGACTGGCGAGACTCTAATTTAGGGACGACCTTTGAACGAATCTAAACTGACCTTGACAATTTTTGGTCAATCAGAAGACCGTATAAAGTTAAAATATATCATAAGTAAGTAATGAATTACAGTGGATATTCTTCATTTACATGATTTAAAAACTTTAAGGTTCGATAAAGGTTCAGAGGTTTTGAATTCATAATGCATATGGTATAGAAACTCGTCCATAGTGTTAGGGTTTAGGGTTAGTGTTTAGGGTTAAGTTTAGGGATCGGGTGCTAACATGCGATCGGTTTACAACGGATTTTAGAGGTTAGGGTCTAGGGTTGTAGCCTAGAGTTAAGGTTAGGGTTTAGGGTTAGGGTTACGGTTAGGGTCAGTGTTAAGGTTGAGGTTAAGGTTCAGGTTGTGGCCTCTCTCTAAAATCCGATGTACCCGATCGCATGTTAGCACCCTAACCCTAACCTAACCTTAACCTTAACCCTAACCCTAACCCTAACCCTAAACCCTTACCCTAAACCCTTACCCTAAACCCTAACCCTAACCTAACACTAACCTTAACACTAACCCTAGACCCTAACCTTACACCCTAACCCTAAACCCTAACCCTAACCTAACACTAACCTTAACCTTAACCCTAACCCTAAACCCTAACACTATGGACGAGTTTCTATACCGTATGCATTATGAACTCAAAACGTCTGGGCCTTTATCAAACTTAACAAGTTTTTTAATCACGTAAAAGAAGAATATCCACTATAATCCATTACTTTCTCGTAATATATTTCTACTTCATACTGTCTTCTGATTGGCTAATAATTGAAATTGCTCAAACATTTCTCATTGGCTCGTGCCTAAATTAGATTCTCGCCGTCCCATCTGTTGCAACCTTCCATTAATCACCTCCTCTCTAAAATCCGCTGTGAACCGATCGTATGTTAGCATCGCGTGTTGAACTTGGCTCCGTGACATTGAAATTGCTCAAACGCTTCTGATGGCTCGTCCTCAAGTTAGAATCTCGCCAATGAACTTAAAGTGAATAGTCTTAAACAGTGAGTGAATTTAACTGTATTTCATTCAGTTGTATCCACCACTATTCTCAAAACACGCCTCAGATCATTGAAACACAAAACATTTGCGATACCGTAAAATTATTTATCAAAAGTATAAGGCCAATAACCTAATCAAAATTTCGTTTTAATTGGAAATTAGGAATGGAATACTCAAGGAAATCATTTGGACATTGGATTTATTATGGATTCATGGACTAAACAGAGGAATTATCCACTAGTGATTGTAAAGAGAAATGGGTCGAATGTGTTCTGTTTCGAGCAGATACGTTACTTTCAACACTATGGTAACAAGTCATCTCAAACAAATCGTGAGTAAGTGAACTATGTATTAATTTAGACAACATCCGTATTCAGAGATTGTATATGAAGAAAAGTGAGTTTGTGATGTATGCAACATTTGTTATCGTGTTGAGTGGTACTGGTGTCGATAGATATAATTAGGACGTACCATCAAGTGAAAGTGAATGCCTGGGAGCGGAAGGTTACCAAGATCGAAGAGAAGATAAGGTGAACAGATTAGTTTGAAAATGAAGAAATAATGAAGTTTGAGACGGTTGATTGACACTTCGCAAGTGAATTATTTGCTGTTTGGCTCTCATTACATTTTCAATAGGTTATCTTAAATCATTGCCATTTACCAAATTATATGACGAGATAAAGAGGTGAAATCAAGTTTGACTCATTGTGATTTTCAACCAACATATCTTCCGTTTCTTAATAGGTGTATTATTGTTTTAATTTTCCAGTGTGATATTTTATTCCCCGTAACAATAATTTGTTTCAGCGTGGTGTTCATTCAAGATACGATATACTCGTACTAAATTAACATAACCTCTGCTCAGTATGAAATGTAGCATGTGATTTGTTGAAATTCTCTGTGTTTTTCATACATGTGATTTTATTCCAATCAGTAAAAGCAATGGGCGTAGGATCACTATATGATGAATGTATTTTCGAATAGTTGTTGTATTTTGTTGTTGTATGTTAGAGTTGATTGATCATCGATTTCTCCAATCCCAATGTTTGTAATTCGTGTCGTGGCCTCTCGTTTTTTCAAGTATTCGGTAACACGGATATAACGAATATCGATGGAGATATTAGAAAAGTGACAGACATAACAACTGCGGACCTGGTCAATCTACACGTTACAGATTTGCAATGTAACTATTTGGTTCCAGTAATAACTCGGTTTACTGTACAACTTTCCACCAAAACCTGTTTGTCTGCTATAATTATACTTTCTTATCTCCATTCATCAAGTGCGCACATAACACCGATCATAACAGGTCTGCTTTACACCTCAAGATACTGTATCACACCATCATTTCAAACACAGAGCTATGATTTATATTTTATATCAATTGCGAAGGTATTGTATCTGTTACACATTGTCTGAGCAAAAGCGTTTTAGAGCGGGATTCATCAACATAATCGAAAAAATATTCATTTGAATTATTAACGCTTGGAGCACAATATCTCGAAATGTTTCTATCATTATGTAGAACGCTGGACTAGATTATGATAACCTGTGCGTGTGAAAGGAAGCACGAAATACGATGAGCAGCATCGATGCAAGTAGACGGATTAAACTTCAAAGATGATCTAGCTCTAAAATCCCATGCACACGGGAGGATGCCCTTGAAGAAAGTAACCCTGGAAATAATGGAAACCTTCATATACCTGTTCAACATCATCGATGATCAAAGAGGATCCGATGCAGATGTGAATGCGAGGGTTGGAAAAGCAATGACCACGTTCTTATAGTTGAAGTACATATGGAACTCCTAACAACTATATGCAGGCAAACATCATAGTCAGAATGTTGAATGCAAACGTCGAAATATTTCTGTCATACTGAGCGGAGACGTGGAGAACTACTAAAACCATCATCAAAAATGTACAAGCATTTGTAAACAATCGTCTGCACAGGATACTCACTGTCCGTTGACCGGATACAATCAGCAACAGTTTACTTTGCGAGACTACAAACCATCATTCAAATGAAGAAGAAATTAGAGAAAAGATTTTGGAGCTGCATAAGAAACACATTGTAGAAGTGATACTTGGTAGTGGATTAAACTGACGGATATTCCTATCTACTTACATTTGAAATCGAACTTGACCTCTATCGATCAACTAGCATTATCAACATGTGTTTTGTTATGGTACTTGACCAAACTTCCTGTTTTTGATTATTATATTTATAGTTTGATAGCTTTTAATGTTCATTATTATACGCTTTGCTTCATTCAGATACTCCTGGAGAATACCAATCACTTATGGGTCGGCACAAACGGTGAACTGGACAAATATCGACATTGTGTGGATGGTGAACAGTAAGAAATACTATTTTGCCGTTTGCATTAGTATAAATGATTATTATGCTTCACATACTTGTACATACTTCGCGTCACATTCTGAGGCTAGATAGTCGGTTTGACGAGCCTTTCTCAACAATGAGAACATGGTTGTCCTATCCAACATGTGTAGTACTAATTTATACTGAGTCATGTTTCTAACCTTACATAGAAGAAAACGTTCATCGTCCCTTCAATGTTAAATTGATGAGGTGAAAATAATCACTTAACCTCCACGCACTCATTCAGCTTTAACTGTTTAAATCATAATAATAATATAGTAATAATAATGAAATTAATATTATAATATTAATGACTAATTTGATTATTCCTCAATTACACAAGACAAAATGAATCAAACAATGAACATAAGCTCAGACGACTGGTATTTGGTGAATGTAAAACAAGGTGGATTTTATCGAGTTCACTACGCTGACAATAACTGGATCTTATTAATCAATCAATTGCAAAGGAATCTCACGGTTTGTTAAAAATACTTGTGTTTCTCTCTGTTGTAAATAACTATTCTATCAAATATTTTAAATTTATTCTTGTTAGTAACATGGAAATTGATAGATAAGCATAATTATGATGATAAATTTTGTAGAATGTGATAAGCGATACAGGTTATTTTAATATAAACTAGTGAGAATGGATCTTCATTCATTGTGAATATCCAACTTTAATCATTGTGTTAAAATGAATTCATATGAAACACACCACATCTTAAGTCAGATGGCATGACCATTTACCAAGTAAGCATACGAAGCCACATGTAAAATAACTTTTTGTCATTTGACATAAGGACGCACTAACGTAATTAGCTATTTGAATACTTACTTACCTATTTGATTATTTACTCAAGTGCTGACGTCTTTACTTAATTACTTACTTATGTAATTGCACACATGCTCAGAACAGCCTAGGCTGCCAACTAGGATTCTCCAAACTATTCTATCCTAGCCTCCTTTCCAGTCGTCGTCAATTGCTTCTCATTCTTTTGGTATATGCCTCGAATTCTCGACACAACATGTTCATTGGTCTTCCTCTGTACCTCTTGCCTTCTGGATTCGGTGTGATTGTCTTGAGATTCCATCTGATGGTTAACATAATGCTTGTCGTACCCACCTCTAACATCTCGTCGTGCTTTCATATTCAGATGGAAGTTGGCTTGTTTTCTGCTGCAGTGTGTTTCTGTTGATAATATCCGGTCGACCGATATTGAGTGTCTTGTTCAGACAACTGTTTATGAACACATGTAGCTTTTGATGATGACTATGGCAGTTCTGCGATTTTCAGCTCAGTACACTAGAACCGTCTCGATGTTTGTATTGAGGATTCTATTGAGTATCTTGCTTACTCTCTTTATGAGTGTTGAAGCTTACTGCTGTAGAGGCTGCTGCTACACTGACTGTCTTCACCTGGATTGTTGGTAAGCATGGTATGAAAGAGTTGAGTCATCTACTGATATCATAATATACAAGTGAATCGAGGCTGTCCAATGTGTCCTCTGCTTCTCCTGAGACGCGATTGTATCCGCATTTCAGTTGACTGCTGGAAGGAAGAGAAACAACGATTTTAGGTATCCCGCGGCCCAGCAACCCGTGGCGTGTCAAAGTATCTGCCTCATTTTCAGCTGTTCCCTATGATAGTTTCCTAGTGTCTCAGTAAATTTTCAAACATTCGAAAACATGACTGAGATCCATTTTTAATTCGTTCAGGTTTTCAGCATCTACTAGAAATAATGCATTGAATATTTCAGCGCTGTTTATACAGTTGCTCACTTTCCCTTCGGCTTTAGTTTTATCATAGCCATAACCGGGTGGTATTATGAAGGCATGTCAACCAGCCTCTTTTTTATCATGTATAATGTATAGTGACGAGTTTCATTCAGTTGATTGTCCCACTTCTATCTGCAGTGTTTGCGATTTCTGGTTTATTAAAGTGTTGTTGAAAGCGCTGTAACAAAAGCTAGGTAGAGTTCTATGCCTTGTGGTGATGATTTTTGTGGTTGAGCAACTGACCCGTTGAATTTATGCTTCTTTAATCCTCTAGTTATGCTCCTTGAATGGTTCACTCTCTTGGAGTAGATGTTGTAAAACTTGGAGATAGTTGCTGAAATATATCATGGAAATATAGAGACTCAAATAACTATTTATTAGGTGTGGAACGTGAAAGAATTAATCAAACTGTCACCCGTTTCATTAACCGAGAGATTACCAACTGTGTAGAAGTTGAGTAGTAGAAATACGAAGTGAGAGGGAATATTATATTCATGCAATATTTATAGCAGATCAAATGATGTAAGAATATGGACTGATTATTACAACATGCATGTGCAATGTGTGGACGACACGTTTTTGGTAGAGGAGTCGATTGATGTATGTAAAAACGCTTGTGTGAAATATTTAGTAATTATTTAGTCGACTTAGATACACAAATATGTAAACAGTCAGACCTATATGGAAGGTGTTTATGAATGAAGACCTTTAAAGAAATGAATATGTACATCTTAATATAGCGGATTTTGGTTTAAGCTGTTAATTCATAATTTCAGCTCGTCATTTAGTGTCGCAAACTAAGGTGTGATCTTTCTGAAATCACACTCATTTTATAGATTGTATTTTACATTGTGGTTCGATGTTCCATAAGGCATTTCGATTTTTATCTAATTTTTTCGTGTCTAGGCTATTCCAGTCTTCTCACGCGCACAAATATTGAATGATTTATTCAGTCTTGCAAAGTAAGTGTGGAGTGGAAAGAAACCAATTTCTTTTTTGGATGATTTTTATCCTGTTACAAAATATCAGGCTAGTTAATAACTTTGATTCCAAATACTGATTGAAAACACGGAAAATTGATGGAAGTTAGTCAATATTTAAAAAAGATTGAGTATTCGACATTTCATACCATCTGATTGTAAAGGAAATACGTTTTAGAACTTGGATATTCTAATTGAATGCCACCCATAATCTGAAACCGATTCTTTCAGAAATGCAAACTAGTACAACAGTTTGCAAAAGAAGCAAGACGGTTAGAGTAACGTATAGTAAGCTGGATTAGAAAAGTTCGCAATGAGTTGGAGTGAATTTGCTGTACACATAGACGTTTTGAATACTGAATACATTCAGCTTCCCAGAAATCTATGTCAACCTTACGATAATATAACGATAGATTAGTATAATCACAAAGAGTTGACATACATGATACGCTATATTTTTGAAAACAAACTGTCAATACCGTTGATTGGTCACTCATTTATTAATGATTAAAAATATAATATGTCGGGTGAAGTAATTACACAGACATATAAACGAAGAATACACTTCTCAAAATTCTCTACACGTTCTACAATCACATATCCAAACTTATCATACGCGAAGTATGAAGATGTTTCATCAAAGTAATTTTCCTTCCGACGATATCATTTTCGGAGGCTGTGCAGTCGTATTTATAGTTAATTTTTAAATGTAGTTTTCTGCGGCAAAATAGCGGGGTTTCAAATATTTGTCAAACATAGTCAAACTTATTCATGTGGGAGTCGAGGAAAGTAAATTGATTTTGTGTGATATAGAAAAGGTTGTCACCTTATGTAATGGATTCTGAATTTATGAGAGCTAATGATCCATAAAATAAATGTTAGGCATACCGGTCCACTTATTCCAGGAGGGGACGAAAAAGACATTAATTAGCACTTGCAAATTGCGAAATTCGAAGGGATGCTAAGATCATGAAAGAATAAAGCGTTGAGCATGACTCTTGTGTACACAGAGTTCGAGTGTGAAATATTGAACTTCTATAGACTTGGCTGTGAACAAATTACTCAAACAAGTCTTTTTGAGCTTATTTTTCACTTTGCAATCAGTTCGAAATTATCTATTTTGTTTTGCTTTGGCCTCCTTGTCAGTCAACATATCGTACCGTATACTCTTTTCTTGGACGCAACAAAATATTTAAACCGCGAAGATGAGTTTATTGTATGGATAACAGCTAGTCGAGCGCTGCTTTACATTAACAAGGTGCTTGCTCTGAATGAGAATTATGAAGATTTCCAAGCATACTTGCGAACTCTTATCGATAACCGAATTCGATCAGTGAATTGGTCATTTGTTGGCAAAGGTCAAGATCTTCCAAAGATGTGAGTAGTAATATTTCCATTTCGTAAGTTTCCCCTCTGTCATATCACTGATATAGTCTCAGAAGTCATTTTGTACGAAACATTCTGTATGGAAGACACCCAACAGAATATGATGAAATTGCCAGTATTGTTATCAGAAATGCTAATTAAAGCAAAACGTAGCCGAAAACAGATTCAATGTATGGTTTATGAGAGGAGTGAGATTCACAAACCGGGTTTTGTTACTTCTGAACCATATTAATGAACTGGAACTGTAATGAATAAACGAATTTAAGATTAAGTGATTGGTTAGTGTGCACTTCAATTTGTGTACTTCTGTTATTAGAGACACACTATTGTTGCCTGAGTGAACTCGTTAATTAACTGTAAGTTGTGTATTGTTGTAATATAGTTATCTGAAATCGTTGTAGTATGAACGGTTTTAATCGGATATTCAAAGTTGTACTTTTTCATTTCAAGTTTATTATAATGGAAACGGTAACAGCTCCCCGTTGAAATGAGATGAAAAATGTATTACAGAAATCACCAGCTCGTCGATATTGTATCAATTGGTGAGTTTAATGACATTCGATTTTTCGTAAAGAGATAACAAGACAGGTTTCGAGACAATGCAAAATGTGGGAACATTTTTGACGTGACAACATTATGTTTCAGATACAAAATCAGAGCAATCTCGAATCCATTGGATAAACCGTTGTTCTCAATGAACATCTTTAGGCATCTCCGTGATATTTTATCTCTATCAACTATTTAAATAACTCACTAATAATAGTATAAACAAATAACGTATATGTATGTATATATTTACTAAAGTACAACATAACTATCCTTCCACCATTTACTCGATTTTAGACTTTTTGACTATAATGTGATCAAACTCGCTTGTATAGCTGAACATCAACTTTGTGTGAACAAAACTACGGATCTCTTCAGACAATGGATGTCGAAACCCGAAACGAACCCGTTAGTCATGCAATTAATGATTTTTATATGATAAAACAGACTACCGTATAATAAGTTTTTATATTATATTTCATTTTATTTGAAACAATGTTATGGTTTCCCGAATGTAAAGAACTTGTAAGTCAGTAAGCGTAGCGGGATAGCTGTTAAATTGATGTGTAAAGTGGACGGATGACTTGTGCTACCTGGATTCGTCAATCACTCGACAATAACTCTGTTTTATGAATAAAAAAATTTTATTTGTGGGAAATCTTCAAATTAAATAATTCGACCTTTTTACACCATTCAGAACAACGCACTTCAACATATGTGCGATATTTTAAAATGAGTCATCTACTAACTCTAAAATAGACAAGTGAATCGAGGTTGTCCAATGTATTCCGTAATTCTCCTGAGATGTGGCTGTTATCACATTTCAAGTGACTGCCGGGAGAGAGAGCAAGAGAATAGATACTCAGCCTTTTATGACACCGATTTTCAATTGCCATTCATCCATTTGCTGTCTGCCATGCGTGAAATTGAATTGTGATCCGTAGTCTTGATTCCGTTTGATGCTGAAAATCTTTCCAGTTACAGTACAGTTCGCAGAGGGTTTGTATTGTTTCCCATATCTTCAACGTCGAACGCTTTTTAATAATCAAGGAAGCTGTTTCTTATGACGGATTCATTTCAACTGGTTGCTCTGCATTGACCTATGGTATCGCGATTTCGTCTGTGCACGATCGACCGTTAAGAAACGTAGCCGGTCTACCTCTAATTTGATATCTTTCACCGAATGGAAGTTATGACTTTTGATGTTTCATGGCCTTAACGAGATCGATTATTCAGAGCAAATTATTGGTCATTAGCTAAGTTGACAAAAGCTCAAAGAGTACGCAATGATAGGTAGAATATTTGAGCTCACGTTCTGTGATTCATATTAAGGTGCGAAACGTTCAAACCATGTTTCTATTTCACAGTACACCGTGAAACAAATTAAAACATGCGAATTTGATCGCTCGGAATAATACAAATTGATTGTAGGAAGAACATTCACACCCAGAAATGGTAGGAGATTTAAGTTGTCAATATTTCCGAGCTATATTGATAAGCATATATTGCTACCTTACTATACTTATAAATGTATCTGGGAGCGTAATATATGAATGAACGTAACCCAATAATCATACGGATTGAAATCGATTTGACGATCTTATACCAAGAAAGTTAATTAACTCTGAAAACGAAAGTAACGTTTTTGTTCGGGTTTGTTTTATTTTACAGCATACGACCTGATTTGAGATTCATTACTTATTGTACAGCTATTCGTCATGGTGGTCAAGAAGAATGGAAATTATTACAAAGTCAGCTGACGTTAAATGATACTGTGAATGAGAATGAGAATGCAAACAATATGCTGGCTTTAACCTGTTCTCGTGATAAAGAAATCATGATAAGGTAACTTATTCTGTTACGTTGAATATTTCACTGTCACATCTGTTAATGAAAACGGTAACCTGACTAGATGTTTGGAATCCTCATTCCTATCAGCTAATGAATATGGTCACAGAATCTAAATCCGTTTGTTATGATCAAAGATTTCTCAAAATTTTGCATGATATTTTTGGAAAGTATGTGTGACAATGACTATGGCTGAATAATTGGAAAGATATATGTTTTCACTCCACGAATGACGATCGAAGAACCAAACACTGTCAAGCCTAATGAAAGTTTATAACATGAGCTTACACTGACTCACCCTCAAATGTAATAGGGCACGGGACATGTTCTTAATTTATGGTTGAAACTACATAAAACTAAATCACTCATATTTTTGGACGGAGCCTATCAAGTATCATCGAGCGAACACGACGACTTTGAACAACTGATTCAAACCCTAGTGGTTTACATTGTTGACTTCAGTTAATTCGCCTTCATATCAAAATTGACTTAAATTTAACTCCATGTGGATACACTGAGATCAGTAGACTTTCACATGTGGATCAACAGTTACCTCATGATTATCATCAAGATATGTCACTCAAAACGTGTCAGTGAACACTGAAGTTTAAAGTCAACTAGGACCCATCGAATAATACTGAGCAGATTTTTCCCAATTCAACAACAGCGTTCACTCACAAACAAAACCGACATCAATGTGCCAAGACCAGTCATCGTAGCTACAAATCTCATCGTTTTATTCTACAGACGTAACTGTTCATATGAATAAATTAATACACAACACCTACTTAGCTAAACATTTCCTCCATCTTTTCATCAGGTACTTAGAGCGGGTAAGAGAGAACGAGAACTTGTGGTTTACGCTTGACTATTTCGCGCAATCTCCAGTTGGCAGCCAACTTTTATGGGACCACCTGAGTGATGTAAATAATTTTATTAAACATAAGTGAGTTTAAATTTCTATTGACAGTGAGGAACCGATGTCATATTAATGTCATGAGGTGGATGGTGCTTGTTGGCTTCAGACGTTTGCGCTTCGTTTGTGAAGTCGCATAGTATGCATTATATGTAGGAGATAGATTGAATACCAATAACTTGGAATGTCAGTCTGTAATCTAGGAGATTTTGTAGACCTAGTTCATTCATGCTTTCGCATTAGAAAACGTCTATCGAACGTATCAACCTTTTGGTGAACATAGTAATTTATCTTCTACAAATATTTCAACAAATATGATTTTAAGTTGATCAGCATATCAATAGACAGTTAGTAGAAGGACTGGTAAATTATCTTAAATAACTCATGATTGTGCCATTTCGATTATGGATGTTTTAGTTCTCCATGCCTCAGCTCAGCAGAACACAACTGTCTTGACGTTCGTATTGAAGATCCTGAATTTGATGTTGGTGTTATCTGATGACCATCCTGATTTTTGCGATAGTTGATGAGGTAACGTCTGTAGGAAGGTCTGTGAGTGGTGATTCGATATCTGGTGAGTCCAATGAAGCTTCCCTATTCAAGAGTTCCTCAAAGTGTTCTGCTTATTTGTTCTCTGTTCTTCAACCTCGATGATAGTCTTGCCTACTTTGTCCTTGACTGGTCTCTCTGGTTTAGTATATTTTCTTGCCAGCATCGTCGAGTCATGTGGCTGTTTCTCATTTCCTTTCAGGCACATTTAACTTGGTGTATGCATTAGTGTGAGAATATTGTGTCACTATATCCAATTTGTTGAATGCATATGTACGTGTAAATCTCTCACTATTTGTGTTCATTCGTCATGTCCATGTCGTCTCACTATATCTTCGTATCCGTTGTTATCCACTCCGACTTTCGCGTTTAGATCACTTGTCGGCGTGATCGGGTCATTTCCTGAGCGCTTAGCCATGATCGATCGCAGCCTCATGTAGGACTGATCTTTATTATCGTCGTTGCTTTCATCGGTGTGTGCACAACATAGGATAAGATTCATAGTATTACCCACCTTCTTTGTTTCGAATAATGCTTCTATTTTCTTGGTCTATGAAATTGCCTCCCTATCGGTGTGCTTCTTTGACAGCATCAGAGCAACTCCCTAAGTGTACAGAGCATTTTCTTCTTCATAAGTTCAATATCATGATCGCTTTGTTAGCACTACCAAATACTCAGTCATTCGTCTGTGGATATGCTTGATGGAAAATAACCACACTAACGATGAATTTCGCTCTCTAATTTTGTTTCACAGAGACTTCACGGAATCCATACTAACCGCACTAACTAAATATCCTTAGTCATCGTATATTGGAAGGAATTATGAAAAGGTTAGTGGGGAACCTGTTTATTTGCCATAGCTTTACACGTGTCACTTTGTTTCGTCTCATATGTATACATACTATTATTCTGTGATTTAATTTTCCAAATGTGATCATTTAGACAAATTTGATAATGTTCGGCAGCACACACTCCATTAATCGTAAACAGTTTCAATGAAGTGAAACTGAATAAAATGAAAACAATCGAATTCGTCAACTACGCATTTCCGCAATTTGCGGTCCGAGATATCATCGCTAAATGGTTCAAACTCTAACACAGATGAAAATCAACACGGTGTAGAGCTACTCAGACTAGTGACTACACTGTAGTATGTTACGGAAAATTTGATGAATCCTAAGAACTAGATAAGAAGAATCCCCTTAATATTCAGCTATGAGTTTGTGACAATTCTTCTATGTACAGTCTAGAGTGAGAATGATACAATTTAATTCTACGGTACTCGTTTCCTGATTCATTTCTGCCATGAATCCTGATCATCAATCATGCGATTTTAAAGTGTTCGTTTCATAACTCAAGAGACCTGACTCACCAATAATGCAACCTCTGTAAACACTCTTTAGCGTTTCTGGAGTACGAAGGAATGTGTGCATACTCTACGTGAAAACTTCTCAGTACTTGAAAATATTCTTTCATAGTAAACCAAACACTCATTATTTTGCTATATAATTGATTGACGTCCACTATTTTTCATCTCAAATTTAAACTGTCAATTTTATGAACTGGCTCCATGTGAATTGTACATGAAATGACACTTTTCTCTTTACAGATCCTCCTAACAGAAGCTAATCATCAGATAGACCCTGAACTTCGAGAAATGGTCAAATATTTATTTGAGATATCCAGTGAAAAACCGAAGTGGACTGAAGTATATTCTGCCATTATTCAGTGGTTGAAAGAAAATGTCCCAATGTTACCCATTCATTATAGATCAGTACTGTTGATGAAGATCAATCGATTGTTCAAGCATAAACGATACGAGATAATTCTTTCGACTTCCGTCATTGTTAGCATTAGTATCTTTTTATTCTATCAAGCCTTAGGACATCTATATGTTACTCCATATTCACACCAGTACTTTGAATGATTGCTTGTAGTAACTCGTAGTAACGTTTACTGGATATTTGTATTTATTCATACAACACTTACGTTATAATAGTTTTGTTGTGGGTTTTGATTCAAAATGTTTAATATACAGAATGTCAAATGAAATACGTTGAGTATGAACAAAATGGTCTTTGTTAATCAACAAAATATTGTTCTCTAAAAGCATATAAAATGTGATTCAAGCTGTGTAAAAAGCATTTGTTGAATTTCAACCCAAGCAAATCACTTCGAAAACAGGAACTCTCAACCTATTTAAAAAAAATCTAATAACTAATTCACAGGTTCAAATTAAACTAAACTATCCAATGACGTTCTTAAAACATGATGTTGAAGTTTGTAATCTCATATCAAATCGCATCCGCTTCCTGACCAGTTGTTCCAATTTCCTAATACTTATAGAAAATTGACAGTGGCAGGTCTATCGAAGCTTGTAGGTCACCCGATTGTGATACGAGAAAAGCCAAAGTTTGCAAAACAAAGGTTTGTCTACAATGGTGGGTCTTTATTGAGTATTACACAAACATTAGTTACAAACCTGAACTTGTGGGTTGTCTGTGGCGTTTAACGCGTCCTTTTGTATGAAAAAAAGAAATCGGTAGTACAGAAGACAGCTGATAGGTGTGTTTAAATTTGGTAAGTTTATCAACATTTGAAACCCGAAACGGGATTAAAAAAATTGGAAACTGTTGCGTTAGAACAAATGCACAAAACTGCAGATAACTGCAACAGTGATAAAGGTGAAGTCATTGTTACGATAAATACAATGGTAAATACAATAAACGTTATAACTATATGTAAATATTTCAGAATATTACACGACAACTTGCGTTACAACGAAAGTGTAAACTTTACTGGTACTACAACTACTTACTGAATGTGAATAAGTAGTATAAAACAATACTCAAAAACGTGAAAGACAACCAAGTGAGAATAATGTAAAAGAAACTCAACATCGCGCCCAAGGACAGCATATATTCCCTTACTCTCACGACTAGATATTTAGTGTGGAAACAATCAGGATGACAATGGTATAATTCACTTTAACCACAGTCATTCCGCAAAGTCATTCTACACTATACTACTCAATCGTCTGCTCCTTCTAATAAGCAAATTCTACGTGTATCACTAGTGATTATACTTCTTAACGTTCTGGTCTTTGCTTATCTGTTGAGACCATCTTCTCCTGGATCAACACACGCCGCTAGAACTTCAAGTCAATTATTTCGTATTTAAGTATATTCAATGGTCAAGACCAGATCGATATGCTTATAAATATCGCCTTTTTTGTGTCCACTTTGTTCGCGTCTGCAAGAGTGATAAATATTCCTTTATCCTACGACACCAAAATGTATTCAACAACGGTTGTGCTTATCGCCATTGTCGAGAATAACGTTCGTATAGGTTTATTTCGATGTGATGAAGATGAGGTATTCTTAACAACAGTGAGTTCTTGGGTGACCATGATTCGAGATGTTCTGGCAAACTGATACCAAACGTATATCATTAAGTAATCGTTCTACTTCAATCGTATAGGTGGTGATTGTCTCATAAGACAGAGTTTGTTCACGCTTCCTATTAATCTTTCCCATATTCCCCCACGATGACTTGCGTAGGGTGTGTAGTAGTGCCGTTCTATGTTCCGTGCCGTCATTTATTTAGCTGCTGTATTATCTTATATATCTGGTGATGAAAGTTGTAACTCCTTCTCTAACCCAACGAATGTAGATCCTCTATCACTGCATATCTTCTTCGGCACCTCTCTGGGATTTGAATATTGCGACAACGCCATCAGAAAGGAATCGATTGATAATGCGCAGGCAACTTCTATATGAGTAGTTCGGGTGTTGAAACATGTAAGCAAGCAACCATAACACTTCCGGAATTCGCGCCCCTCTTTAATCATGTTCGGCCGGGAATAATCTACCCTATTGTTGCGAATGGATATCGGGCGTTATCCTCGTGGATGATAAGTCTCCCATCAGTTGTAACATTGATTTGGCCGATTTAATCCGACGTCCTATACAGCTATGTACAACTCTCTTGATTGCAGCAGTGCTCTTTAAAATCCACTATCTTTTATATAAGGTGGCTCATTGGTGGTACACCCCATAGGTCCTTCAGATTGATGGTAATATTGGATAACGAGTTCAGTTATAAATGCTTACTAGAGATCATCGTCGAACAATCAGTTGAGTGGAACTCATCACTATACATCAACTTCATTGATTATGAAAAGGCATTCGACAGTGTAGATAGGAGGACATTATGGAAACTTCTTCGACACTACGGAGTTCCTGAGAAGATTGTCAACATTATCCGGAACTCATACGACGGACTACAGTGCAAAGTAGTGCATGGAGGACAGCTGACAGATGCATTCCAAGTAAGGACTGGAGTCAGACAAGGCTGTTTACTCTCTCCCTTCCTCTTTCTTCTGGTGGTCGACTGGATTATGAAGACCTCGACATCTGAAGGAAAACACGGAATACAATGGACAGCTCAGAATCAATTAGACGATTTGGACTTCGCAGACGACCTAGCCCTCCTATCACGTACACACGAACAGATGCAGATGAAGACAGCCAGTGTAGCAGCAGTCTCTGCATCAGTAGGCCTCAGCATACACAAAGGGAAAACCAAGGTCCTCAAATTCAAGCGGAGAACAGCAATCCAATCACTCTTGATGGCGAAACTCTGGAAGATGTAGAGTCCTTCACATACCTAGGAAGCATCATCGATGAACAAGGAGGTTCAGATGCAGACGTAAAGGCGAGGATCGGCAAAGCAAGGGTCGCATTCCTACAATTGAAGAACATATGGAACTCAAAACAACTTTCAACCAATATCAAAGTGAGAATCTTCAATACGAACGTCAAGGCAGTTCTACTGTATGGAGCTGAAACTTGGAGAACTACAACAACCACATCAAGAAAGTACAAGTATTTATAAATAGCTGTCTACGCAAGATACTCAACATCCATTGGCCGGATACCATCAGCAATAGCCTTCTGTGGGAGAGAACAAACCAACTTCCAGCTGAAGAAGAAATTAGGAAAAGACGATGGAAATGGATAGGACATACATTACGCAAATCGTCAAACTGCATCACGAGGCAAGCCCTAACTTGGAATCCTGAAGGGAAGCGAAAAAGAGGAAGGCCAAAGAACACATTGCGTCGGAAATAGAAGCAGATATGAAAAGGATGAATTATAACTGGAAGGAGCTGGAAAGGATTGCCCAGGACAGGGTTGGATGGAGAATGCTAGTGAGCGGCCTATGCTCCTTTACGAGGAGTAACAGGCGTTTATTGCCCGCCCCCCTTTGAATAATGACAAGCGTAAATAATCAAGATTTTACTTTTTTTTTAATTTATTTTTTTTACAATTTCATTGAAAATTTATTTGGACCGGAAAACTTTATGTTTTAATTCAATAACTGTTTCTGGTTAATTATTCGGTTTTGTAAAGTATTAATTTTTACATAATCATTTATAAATGATAAAAATTCATTTATGGTTCATTGATGCACAACACGTTTTTTTTTGGTTTTTTTCCTTCTGACAAATATTAGAGTGGTAAAGTATAAATCAACAGTAAAAACCATTTAAATATATATTATAGAAGAAAATATATTAGAGCTAAAACTTTTCTCTCTCTCTTAAACAGTATGTAAATCAGTATTTTTTGTTTTTACGCTTCACATAAAATAAAATTTCCTATTTACGTAAATACAATCTAATCGTTTTATACAAAATTAGATGTAAATAGTAGGTTTAATAAGTAGTTGTCAATAATCAGTATTGAATTAAAATAAGAATTGAGTAATATTTGTTACAGATATGTTGTGGTATAGGTTAATTATATCCACATAAGTAGTATATAGCATTGGACAGACATAGAATGTATTTCAGTAGAGATCGATAAGGAAAGAACGTGAACGGAACGCAATTGGTATGAAAATGTATGAACAATGAAATCTGAGACAATGGATTGATAGTCGCAAAAGGAACAGTCAAGTTTGAGACGATGGATCGATATTTTGCAAATTAACTATTTACTATATGCTTTTCAGATTTTATTGAGATGCTCTGTAATTTCGTGTCAAACACATTCGATTGTCCCCACTGGTGTTCTTGTTCACTACAATATCTCTTAATAGAATATTGACAATTTGTTTTAATGAACATATGTAACTAAACCAGCTTTGGTTTGTAATCGATAGCGATGTAGATTAGAGTTATTTATTTTAATAGAATATTCAAGATATTTCTTAGTGTAACCGTTTCTATTTTTTAGTATTTTTCTTCTACTCAGACTGAAGTACAATTCTAGACTAGAATAACCAGTACGAACTCCGTTGTCATGTTATTCAATATTTACGGATATCACAAAACTGAAGCTGATCAAAATTATGATAAACTGATGAAGTGCATTAGAATTTTCGACGAGACTATAATTTATGGACTGCCTCTGAACGAATCCCATGTGACCTTGAGAAATATTAGCCAATCAGAAAACAGTCAGTATAGAGTAAAAATATATTATACATAACCAAATTAAAGTGGATACACTTCTTTTACATAAATCAAAACTTGTCAAGGTTAGAGGGAGGTTCAGAGGTTTGAAAAACGTCGTGAATACGGTAGAGGAAATCATCCATATGGCACCGTAATAGTCGGTCTCTGGAGCCATGATAAAGTTGCAAAACCTCTTTCAGCCTCGACCACAAAGCATCTTTAATTTTTGTGTGCACTCCGGTTGTTAGGTCCATAAAATGCCACTTGTGAATAACAACACGATGCATATCAACAAGTTCATGTAGCCATCTGTACGCTCTTCATCATCCGTATATATTGTAGTACCCGGTAGTAGCCAGTGTCTTTGGTGCTTTTATTATCCAGTTCACAAGAACTGTCATAATTTACCTTAGTCCCAATCTGGATAGAGCGAAAAAATCCTATTTTAGCAGAAATCTTCCTCCAACACATATTACATCGAAAGACAACATCATCACACAAGGTCCACAAGTTATTTTATTACCACAATAACAAATAAAGGAACTTCTTAATAGTCCCATCTATTGTAGTCGGTTAATTATCACGTTTTCTCTAAAATCCGCTATGAACCGATCGTACGTGAGTATCAGGTACTGAAATTGGCGCCATGACCTTGGATTCCCCGCAACGCTTCTGACTGGCTCGTCCATAAATTATAGTCTCGCCGAATTTTCTTCAACTGAAACATTTAAGAACATAATCTTTGAAATGTTTTTAAATATTAGCTATTTTAAGCCTATTTTAAGTCACTATCAGGATCCTAACAGTATACACAAAAGGGAAATCAATGTTGTATAGGAACTTTTCTTGCCTTTAGCATACTAATATTTATGGCTCAAGCATACTCATATTAATGTATGTATATCAAAGATTAATAAACCTTATACATCTGAATCCATTCAGAATTTAGTTGAAGAACTGAAATTACATTTTCACAATATTTGAAAAATCTGATAAGTAGAGGAATTCATAAAATTAAAGGGATTGAAAATCCAAAGAACACCTCAACAAATGAAACACTTTTAAAATCACGAAGAACGTTTCATAGCAGAACCGCTGCACATAAAGTGAAATTCGAATTGTCTGAAAAAGAATAAGGGGTTAAGACAAAATTTGATCTGACACAGGCGCCGTCCTCCCTCAACACAGATGAAAGTATACTTGAATGTTTGATGGCTGAATAGAGAATTTCCGTTATATTCCAATATGACAAGCGTCAAAGATAATAATGGAGAAGACAAATGACGATAGGTTCATACATTTAACTGCGTAATTAACTTTGTTCTACATACATAGAATATACAAATAACATATTACAACTCCGATAATATGATCCCGGATCACATGAAACCGAATACATTTTAAGTATTTGTATTTTTGAAGATTCAACAAATACGACGGTCATTCAACGCCATCTGTTTAGTTGAAGTAATGGGGTAACAAACAATCAACAAACCAACAGAAGTCAAAAGGAAGTTTTAATATGCATATATAAGTTGACAAATCTCATTATTAACGTAGGTAATTTTTAATAAATACCACAGAAATAATCAAAATCATCTAAAGCTTCCTAATGAAAGGGTCGGTTGTTCTGTTTTCTACAAAGTGTAATAATATGTTGTAAGCGTTCCTCATAATAAATGATTTGAGACTACATGCTAGTTATCAGTTAAAATGAATAAATAATATATTGTTACTACTAGATGCTCAACTGGTGACAATAATGACAAGAAGTGTGAATATTATAATTAGTAACAAACTCTGTTGTCAACTCTAGAGTCTCGTGAAAATAATTGACTAAGTATAGTTGAGTGTATAGATATCGGTTTTGAACAAACAGAATTTTGCTAAATCATTGTAATAAAATAATATTTCGTTGAACTACAGTTTCGACGCTATTATATTAACAACTTTGAGTGACATAGCGAGGTACTATTTAACGAAAACATAACAGACATAAGAACAACAAATCACATTCCCGACTATTTATTATGTTAAAAATCTTGACTGACACTAGTCAAATTTAGTGAATTGAAACAGTGAAAACAATCGCCACATAATTTTACGATGAAGGCCAATAGCAGTGGGAAAAATGAGTTCATTTAGGCAGACGGGTATATATTTTCACGAAACTAATTCACTACAAACTTTAAAGTTTTACTTCTACTCAAACAGGTACTGAGGAGAACCTAGAATTCCTTAGCAATTTACTAGTCTTAAGATGACAGAATCTGGATTTTAGTCCATTTGAATTCTAAGTGCATTTTATCGACTTGAGAAAATATGAGATATCCGAAGTCCTTTTTTATACATGCTTGCGCAATTGTGTCTTTTGCTGAATCCGGGCTGATAGGGAGCACTATAGTTAACGAGTGTGAACTAAAGTAGAATTTATTTTTATTTACAGGAGATAATTAACACTAAAGTCCTTGTCAATAATATGACTACAAGTAATGATATAATAAAAAAACCATTACTTCAATTGTTCTAATGATGGACGAACACATTAAGACTGTTTCATATGGAATTGGAGAATTTGAAGTAACGTAAAACTAGTACATTTATAAAGCACTTTGATTGTGTCACAGTTATGGTTTTGTCTAACTAATTCATCTGAAAGAGGAACCAAGTGTGAAAATTTACACATGAAAGAACATTGATACTTTAAGTACCGATAAGCTGTCCCTTTGGTTTATAAATTAAATGATTTGCAATAGTTAAACTCAGATAGACAATGTATTTTAAACTAATGAAATTATATAGATAAAATGTTACTTACATTTATAAGGCCTAATAGTTCAAGACGATTACCCGGTGCAATTCCTAATTGACCACGAATACTACATACCCACCAACCATTTAAACCAGATGGATTTCTATCCAATACTGTGATTAAATCACCACGTGAAAAATTTAATTCTGTTGGATTTTCTGATAGATTATCATAGATTGCACGAGCTAAAAATGTTTTCAATGGTTGAATTCCCACATTCTTGTGATAATTAGTCATAGTTTCGTCCAAAAATAAAATAATTCAATGAAACTGTATTACACGTGATATCCTAGCCAATGTTATATGTTTATCAAACAATAAATAGTAAACAGAGTTTATTTCTATGGTTCTAATATTAATATTCTTCCTATTTCTTCTGTATACATAGACCGATAGACATAATCATAATTGGTTATTAAATCGATATGATCAAGTTAACCAATCAAAATATTTAATTTAATGTGTCTGGCTAAACATATATTAGATGGAAAAGACTATGATGTTTAGTAATCAACAACGTTGTAATTGAAGAAGTAGGTGAAATATGAGTAAAAAAAACTGCATTTGAGTGGTAGTAAATATCATTGTTGTATTTAATCTAATATGAAACATAGTTTGATAACAATGTTAATACAATATCATTAATGTATTTCATTTAGATAATGGATTTTAATATTATTATTATTTGTCCGTATACTTTGTCTTAAAAAGACATTTGTTGAATGTTTAAACATGTCATAGCTGGTCTTTAAAGTTATATAAATAGGTTACTGGTTAGTTGCATTGGTCTTACATAATTGGAATTCAGAACTTACGGTAAATGGTGCCCTATACAGCTTTGTGAAACGTGAACTCTGTTTTGATTGACGCATTGCATAATTCTATGCTTCTCTAGATCCATTTGTTTATAAGAATAGATGATATCAATAAGATAAAATCATTTGATGATCATAAAATCAATTAAATGCATAATAATATTTGTGAAAATATCAGTAAATGAAATTGAATAGCTCCAATGATTCATTTAAAAATCTGGTTTTAGCGGTTTCACAGAAATAATTAAAAACCATGATTATCAAATGTAAATAAAGTCATCAATAAATTATCAGTAAATCGTTGTTAAGTCAGTATAGAATATATGGAATGTGGCTAGCAATGGGATCCGTGACGCCAATTTCGTTCTACATGGGACTCGTCAGCTAGATGTAATTTGCACTCCGTCAGTCATTTTCAGATGTTGGATTCGTTTCCCAGTATGATTTTAAATCATCACATGTCAAATGTGTCCTAATCATGATATACAATATTGTTTATGTTATTCATGATCATGAAGTCTTAGATTATGATCAAAAACATGTGGATCATTCTGATTATCGTCGAATTGCGTGTTGAAAGAAATAAGACAACCTTGTAAGAATACGTATTGACTGACAACTTTTAAACCGTCAGTGTATATATTTATATATTGCTGATATTATTCAAAAGTAGGAACCATACCCAATTATAATATTTGACACTTAAACTACACGTCGTTGTTGCTAATGGTAATCGTACTTGATATAAAAATGGATGCTATAAATAACAACTTTTAAAAAGTAACTAACTCCTCCCCCCATCTGCTTTGCTCTGATAATCTGGACTTGTTCATACACCTGATGTTTTATATACCAGATTATGTAGTATCATTTTAGCGACGATTCATATAAGCCACTAAAGAATTTGTTTTAACACAAAGAACCAACGAAATTTAATGGTGAATAGTGAGTTATTAAAATGCTTTAAAAGAACAATTCCAACTGACTATGAAGAAAACAGATGCTGTCCACTCAATTAATTATACCCAAACGATCTTCCAGAGAACGTAATATTTATGTAAAAGGAAGAGTAGTATAACAATATGCAGATAAAAGTTTCTTACGGCTGGTTAAACATTTATTTTTGAAGACTTAATAACCATTGTATTGTAGTCAAATAAATTATACGGATACTTCACGACACAGTTTATTTGAAAAAAGCTAACCCTACGTTTATTTTTAATTATCATTCGTTATTGAAACATCTAAGGGGTTAGTATTAAAATCAAACTCTGCAAAGTAAATAATCAAGATTAGGTTTTGGAAAGTAGTTTCAAGCCGTTTAGTTCATTTACATACAGCAGTATATCTCCAGTATCATAGCTTAGGTAATTATTTACCACATAACAGATTACTAACATTCATTCATTCCTATCTAATTCTGAATTCATTAAGGATTACAGTATACTAAGTGAGTCACTTAATGAAGTCATTTAAAGTTAACATATTAGCTTTCCGACTAAATGGCTTCACTATTTTCAAGTTTTTTGATGTGCTCTTTTGGGATAATTATAATATTTAACAAAAGAATGAGAATACCAACACAGGTTAGATAGATTTGTCATTTATAAAATCACAGACTAGTATATGAAATATCAATCAGTCAGTCATAAACAACGTAGGACCTGGAACATATATGCATCAGTTCAAATTGTCACAGTACATTAGTACAATGAGATGAAATCATCAAGCCAAATCCAAAAGCATATATATGGGTTATTAAAAGAGGATAAGAGTATATGAATTCGGGACTTTGAATCTAATGAAAGACAAAAAGTTAATACAGCTGCTGTAGTGAGATCGATTTCGAAAGATATCACCCAACGTCTAAAATTATTGGTTATGACAATCACGAGAACTAATCCCAAGAAGTTTGCATATACCTACATTTCTTAGTTCAATAGCTAATAGACTCATGAACTGATGCTTTTTTATGATTAAGCAACCTCTAACTTCGTCTAGCCTACTCCTACACCGTAAGTAACTAGTGGTTGGGCATTCGTATTCAGCATCTCAACCAACTCAGTAGGTGACGATTTATTACTTCATTATTTATTTACACTTTATTCGACAGCAGATTTTTAATTCCAGAATTCTAGAACTTATATTGTTTAAACCTTAAGAGATAGATTGGATTTTTTTTATACGCTTCTACTTTATTCATACTTTTTCACACAAAATCCTTCATTCCAAGAAACCTCCCATGAGTATCATTTCTGTTTCAACTGATTATTTTAATTAGCATGGGAAAAGTCCGGCAAAATATATTACATTACAGACAGGAATTAAAAAATTCCTTACAAATGACCTGAAATAATTGACTTTTATTACATGACACGGTTCTTTTACAAAATTCGTTGAGACGGTACTCTCGTTTTCAGTTTTAAATATTTTATTATTTTATGGATCGTTGATTCTTTCCACGATACTACCTTCTAACATAACGTAGAACTCATTTTTTCTCGACGTTCAGAAACTTCTTATTTGATTTGGGCTAGAAAGTTTGTAGAACGGCTATATTGATTTGACGGATCCTAAATATGAGGTTAAACAACTACTTTTCTGACTCCTCATTTTCGACTATTTTAGAAAAGCGTCAACGATAATAAGCACTTTTAGTCAATAGTCTTCAAAGTCAATATGGATTTTGGTGATATCGCCTCATTAATAAAACATGACAGGTATCTCTAACATTTCAGCACACCGAGCTATTTCAATAAATACGTCTATATTCGACCAATATAAATTCCAAATGACATATTGATGCACTAACGTACCAACTCACTATAACGGAATAGAGCCGTTGATTATTCATAAAGAACATCTTTTCCACTTTGAATATCTTGCATGTTCCCATGTTACACAAATACAGTTAAAATTCACGAACTAGAAACCAAACTCTCTCACCTTCGGAAAGTTGAGTAGCTTAGCAACATGCGGTTCAATCTAACACTATACTTTCTAATAAAATGTTTAAGTCTATAGCAAATAACCCGCAAATAATATGGAAAACTGTAAATCACTGAAATGTTTTGTACATTATTTATTCTATTCAAAAAAACATATTGTATCGTAGAACGATATGAATTATTTTTGTACACATTTCTATTGAATGAAACGTCCTTTTTGCATGTTTAACGAAATGTAGTTCACTGCTACATCCTTCATCAGTAAGTTAGTGTAGTGAACATTGTTTAGTCGTCGTAACATTTCTTCCTCAGACAATTAAAAGGTATCAATGATTAAAGTGAAATATAGATTCACTTTTGAATAATCAACTTTAGAAGTTAACTTAAAGCAGCTAAAATTAGGCTAAAGAATGAGACCATTGATATTTGGGTGATCAAATTTGCGTCTATGATGAACCTTAAAAATAAATTCCGGATGCTTTCTATTCACATTTGAATCTCATATAAATAAAAATCACCTAGTTACTTTTCGAAAGTGAAATATCTAATCAAATTTATTTTGTACCGAAGAGGCGTAAAACTGTCGAGACGCGTACACTGACTAGTCCGTGTATTCATTCTGAATAAGTTCCTTATTTGGAACTGTTCAACCTTCTGGAAAGAATTTCAAACAAAAATATGCTTGTATCATTTTCTCCATAAGTGAATCTAATTGCTGAATGAACGATACTGACACTTCAATGACTCTTGTTTATTGATACTATTGTTCCACATGATTAGAGTGTAATCTAGGAGGTTTCGAAAAAATGTAAGTTACACTTTCTAGACTGTAACATTGGTTAAATGAACAATGAGAATGAAATTCAACGTTAAAGCGTTTAGTTTTCTGTTGAAAAGGTAGCGGAAGGCCAACCATTGACTCTTCAGTAATACAGAGGTAAGGTTTAAGCCTTATATTAGGCGTTTTTAATAAGACAGAATTGAGCTCTTTATCGGTTATCCTTAGTTCTTGCTTACTTTCACTTCGTGTCCATGACTAGTAAGTGACGTACTATAAGATTATGAAGACCACTTTGCTCTCAACATCATAATTTCTTGAGAATACCTTCCGAACTTCTAATTGTATCAACTGGGTCTGTTCGACAGTCATCTTCATTCACCACCACACCAAGCAGTTTAGCTGATTTCATAAAATAGTATTAATTATCTTACCGCATAGGGGAATCAGGCTAAAACTTTAAATCTCATATTGAATCGACAAAACTTAAAACGTTTTTGGTTGCACGTCAACTAAACAAACAAAATGTTTTTTCGAAGAATGTAACGCAATTTACTACACTATAGTACGATTGATTCCAATAGCTAAATGGGAATATAATTTGTGATTAATAAATAGGATTTTATGTAAAGGAATAAACTCTTGTAGCTGATTATGACCAAGAGGTTTTTGATAAATTTGTAAATTTCACCTGTAAATAAACAAGAGCTATGTATATGTATTTTGAAAGTTGTGTTACAAAATTTATATAAGTTAATTCATTATCTGGAACGGGCAGTGGATCTGTATATTCTTCCGACTCAGCAATCTTTTAACAAAGTGCGGATGATCAATTAACAGTAAAATATCCCTTTTTATAAACGCTTCACACTTTAATTAACTCAAGACTAACCAATATGTCTAATTTACTAAACTCAGAGTACATACTGAAAAATAGAATTTACACATCTAGAATGCTCAATAAAATAAATGGATCATGCGGTTAACATGAATAATTTTTTACATTGTTGATATATTCCTGTGTTTATGCAGGCGTTTGCATCAAGAATCATTTGCAGCAATACTGGGCTATTTTTAGCTGGTTATCGATCACAACACAACCTTCTCAAGGATATTCTTAGTCAGCACTTATATTTGAGGTGTATACCTGACCAATTCAATTTTCATAATTGGAAAAATGAATATTTACTAAATCGTATTTTGACATACGGAAAATATGACTATTTTAATCTGAAAACCTTGTGCAAATCTTCGTTAGGGGAGATAAATCACACCTAGTATGAGATTCTGAATGATGCTACTCTGTTGCTTATACAGAATATGCTCCACCTAGTAATCCAGTGCGTAAGTTCTCATAGCGGTGAGTTACAAACAAACCACGAGAAACTTACAATAATTTTCACTTTAAAAACCAGTTTAGGAGCAAACGTATTCACTGAATGCAACAAATCCTCGATGCATAAAGGAAAGATCATCCAGTTAATGGCACTACTTGAAGGTTTCGGGAGAATTTTGTGTGAATTTTCGAGATCAGACTACTGAAATTTCATACAGTAGCGTACGTAGTATTACCTAAAATCGAGTATCAACATCGCATTTTGGAAACATATCCTACATTCGCAAAGTGATTGTTAGAACAAGCGGATAAAACCGTAGCAAAAAAGAATAAATGTGGCACCTGAAAACGCCTATATTGAAGGAAACAGCACCAAGAACCCAGTACCGTATTGGAATGCAAACGTTACTGGCTTCCTCATATTCAATACTGCAAATGCACAAAATACTCTCATATCATACGGCTTTAGAGAACATATAGATTAGAATGAATGCTCATTGGCGATTGGATGATCAGTTTGTCCCTCCCTATAAAATAATAAGTCAGTGTTTGGGATTATTCATCTGATAACCGTAATCGTTAGCCAGCCAACTCTTGTGAAAATCTATAAAATGCGTCTAATATTACATCTCAACATCTACGCAGCTCTCTTTACGTGAGAATGAAGATATCACTAGGCTACACTGAGACTTTATGATCACTTCCTTGACTAGGTTGTACAAGATCAAACTGCATAAAGATACTAAAGAGTTTAATATTACCTCAGCATTCTTGTCAAACCTCATACATAATGTCAACAGTATATCCACACTTGGAATAATCATTCGCTTCTCAGAAACACAACGTACATCCTCAGTCTAATGAACAGATTCGAACTCTAACTTTGAGAAATCTAGCAGACGGGCATGAAATTCCGTAGAATACAGCTATTATTTCATTGGGGGTATTGTAACCGCTGGTGCGAGATAATAGAGATAAGTGCAGAAGCAGTCGGTGACAACAGAAAAATCTGCTGTCAACACACACTGTGTAGAAACATCGGTGAAATTATAATTTATGGACGACCTTTGAGTGACGCTAGAGTGACCTTGAGAATGTTCATCTTCTAACTAGGACTAAATGAGGGTTATAAACCAGTGTGAGGAATTAAAATTACGATTTACAATTGATGATGAGGAATGAAATTTTGGGTTTTCATCACGAACTGACACAGACTATAATGCCAAAACGCTATTTAACTATATGCATGTCTGAGTTACGCACCAAAACCCAAGACTCGTTATCCTATGTCTGATTGGTTTGTCAATAAATTATAGTCTCGTCGAAACATCTCAATAGCCTTAATACAACGGAATTTAACAATCTCCACAACCCAATATTGAAAATCGTCATGTGCTCACTAGTGACTAACATAGAGAGGAAATCTCCGAATTAATAGAGAGAAGCCGTGACCGGTGGAGCCGAACCGTGTCAGATGTGAAGCAGTTACCCACCGAAGACATTGGGAGATGGTCGCGCAGTATCCTGGACTGAGTAAAGTTAGATAATAACACCATTGTTTATCAGCTTAGTTGTCTACAGGTAAACCGTTCGCGCGCGAGATCAGACTTCCTTTGTCCGATTCCTACGGGCGGGATCGTGGATGCACACTACTGAGTTATTCCATGCTTCCGGATCTTCAATTGTGGTCTAACTTAGATCGGTTCATGATTTCAATGAAACTCAACAATCTCTACACCGACATACTCGTAATAAAAGTTTGTTTCCGGACTAGTGATACCATAAAGTCGGTGTTTATCGAAGTTAAAGATGTCACCAAAGTAAGAACAATAAGATCTTGTCCATGAGATCAGTTGTCATGAATGCGATGTAGCATATGAGGGAGAAACATATATGCAGCTGGACATACAGTTTAAAAAACACGAACAATATTCGAAACATGTTCTCCGATGTCCAGTTGACCTCAATAAGCTTGAGGATAGATCAGCAATAGCGATTCATTCATTAGTAACAGGACACAATATCAACTTTAAAGTAGTTAAAATACTACAGGAAAGGTTTGACATACAGAAAGAAGAATAACTGCAGAATCACTGTAAATGTAGACTAATCAAAACAGCCTAAACATATAAGATGTAATTCAATTAGTTACCTATCGTCAAATGCTAATTAACGAATAATCGAACTTGATTATTATCTACTCAATTTATATTATTAGTAACTTGTTTTAAACAAAGAAAATATTTTTGAATGTTAAACATCACAACTACTCAATTAAATTTTCTCATTCTACATAAACTTTGATGATTTAAATTTTTCATTTGTACTGTTAATTTATAATAAACAAAAACAATTAACATGACTATGATGGTAGGTAGAGATTTTATTTATTCACAACATAAAGGCACATACGCAAGTACATCCATTCTGTTTCACACTTTTCATATCTTATGAGATGATTGGATAAACTTTTCATCTTGAAAACTTCATTTAGTCCTTGATAATTTCGATTTTTTTATTACTTAGTTCTTAGTTCAAAAAAGATTTCTGGACGATCAGTTGGAATAATTTAAATTTCAATGGCTGTGATAAATTAAAATATAATTTACATAAATAATACCTTGTCTATGCTTGACACTCAAATTATATCAAACTATTAGTTCAAATATTGACCAATATTTGTATAGATTATCTGCTAGTTTCGATTTCTAGATTTTCTTAATCTGAGTTTTGTGTTATTAATGATTGTTGCCTATGGTTTTCTTATTAGACGTAAATACATTTTATGCGCTCAAAGGATCGTCAGCATACCTTTTCTTCTATTTTCCCTGTACCAACTCTCCTCAGTTACGTTACTCTGCATGATCTATTACAACATAAACTGCATTCTGTCTAGACATGAACCATAACACTAGGCGTTCAAATATTAACAAATATTCATCTAGATATATGTGACAGTTATATTAATCGAAAGTCTCGTATGATAATAATGAATACACTTATTCAAAAAAACTACGTAACGTGGTTAAATTTAACAAAAAGGATGTTGAATAACGAAACTACGCTTTTTTCGAAGTAAAATAACATTACAAAAGATGAAATGTTATACACATTCATCTATGAGGCTTTCATTGATAGTTTTTCATTCCATCGAGAGAACTGACTCCCTCCAAGGTACAATAAACCTATGAATAGAAAAACACCACATTATTATTTTTTTATATTTTCGACTGAAGTACAATAAAGGGAATGAATATACAACGATTCGATAAATCACTTTGTGATTGAACAATTGACTATAGTATCTACTGAATGTAGTACATACTTAACTAGACTTCTATGTGGAGTGAATTGGAATCTTTGATGTAATATGAATTACCTCTAGCTAACAGAAGTGCTTTGTTGATGAGCTTCAATAAGTACAAGACATTAATTCAGAAGGAAAACATCTGTGTTTAAGACAACACACTATAAATCTCAACCCATTCTTTTTCTTAGCTGTTATCCTACATAGACTAGCATAAGTTTTAAATATTTTACTATTCATTTATCTATAACATTTAAAATCTTCTGGTACTATAAGATGACAATATGAATGTGCTACATAAAAATAGGATGAATAATATTGTGAAGGAAATAGACAACGGAAATCCAGACAATCAACGAATAATATCTATTAAGAGATAAAAGTTAGAAATATAAAACCAAAGGAAATCTTATTCACTTCTACAGGTTCATTTGACTTTTTGAAGATTGCATCAGAAAAATACAGCAGGATCCCTATTGGCTTCTATTTCGAGTCATGTATAATGACGTTACTGAGTTACTAAGTTGTAAGATATTTAGAATTTGATTGTTTTAGATAGGGTAGAGCAACAGCTATCAGTTCTATATATTTTATTTTCCATATTACAACTAATTTTAAATGTATCAGTTTGCTCGATAGATTTTAATCATAGAATCAAATAATTCAACTGATGAACATCAAAACTAATAACAAAACACACAGAGTATATGTAGCGTTTCGATCAACAATGTGAACGTGAACTATCATTCGACGGAGAACATAACAAATAAATATTAAATGTACAGTTAAAGTAATTAATTAAATCTAGAAGTATGAATATATTTCTTGTTACATAAGATATGATTTTTTTTAAAACATGATACAATTTATTTTATTATTCAATATTCTATTCATTTAATTTATATAGTCAAGATGTAAACAGCCCTGGTGCGGTCGAGAGTGGGGAAAGTCCGCTCTCCCTCTCGAAATGCTCTCACATGGCCACGCGTATATAGCCTCTGCCAGGGAAGTTCTACTCATTGACTTCTCACGGCATGGGTGTTGTCTACTAAATGGAGAAGACGTAAAGCGAATTTCCGGTGCATTAACAGTATTGGTGGATAAAGAGGACCCACCTAGAGGAGTTGGAAAACCCTGATTCCAAACCAATGGTGCACATAGGCTCCAGTATCCTGAGGGAACAAATGGCGTATGAACCAATCGTTGATCACCGACTACCATGGGAGTGCATCTCCTTACAATGCTCCACTGAATTGTGGATCAGACCTTTAGGTAGAAGGCTCTGGGTGTGGCTCCTAAGAAAACTACCTGCTTCGGTTTGGGCACCCGGGCAGTATCATAGCCCTCACACATATCGAATGAGATTTGTGTGGCGCATATGTACCTGGTGCCCCGTTGTAGCAATATATATATATATATATATATATATATATATATATATATTCAAGTAAATAAAAGTAAATAAATTTAGAATACACTGCAGGAAAAGTTGCAAACATATTTTTTGTTATATCCCACATTATTTTAAATAAATTTTGTGTTTCAACATTGTAAAATATTGAAAAATATACAATATTTCAGGTCTATGTGAACAGTAAGTTGAAAGTTCTAATGAAAGATATAGAAAAGGAGACAGTACTTCAGTGAAGAGACAGATTTTTTTAAGACATCATCATTGAAGCTGTATAATCGTAATTGAAATGAATTTTTTAAAGATTTTCTATCAATTATAATTGTCTCATACTTTACATTTGAATAAACCCCTCCAGTCAGTCAGTAACAACGTAGAACTTCGTACGTACGTACATCAGTTCGAGTTGCCACACCACATTAGCACAGAGATGCAGTGGTCGATTCAAATCCCGTAGTGGTAGAGGTAGTAACAGTATAAACAGTAATCGGAAGATGAGGGTTTGGAGATGTTATTTAAAGAGTATAATACAGTGAAATAAATTTGGAAAGAAAATAAGGGACATGAAGAATCCAGAAGATTAGAATTTGGGAGAGCACAAAGAATGGATGCACCTGCGCCATTGCAAACGATTTGAGCCATGTCATTCAGGGTCTCTAACCATCGGTTGTTATCATCTTGCGGTCCCCAACCAGGTGGTCTACACCTACCAACATGACTCAGTCCACTTGTCAGTGACTTCATGGACTTGTGCCATGTTTTGGTCTGGCCGCTCCTAGCTTTCTTCCAACCTACTCCTATACCACTGAACATCTCACGTCGAGGCAGTCGGTCGTTGGGCATACGTAACACATGTCCCAGCCATCTCAACTGATAAAGTTTCACCACTTCATCAATCGATTTGCCATTCTTACCCAGTACCCGTTTCCTAACAACTGCATTATTTACTCGATGGTCCCACGATATACGAGCAATATTTCGAAGACACCTATGATCGAATACTAGTAACCTTCGAATATCCTCTACTCTTACCGGCCATGTTTCACTGCCAAAAAGTAGGACGGAACGAACTGCTGCGCAGTAAACACGTCCTTTGGTTGATAGACGGATATCTCGCCTACGCCATAAATGACGCAAGTTGGTAAAAGCTAGTCGAGCCTTCTGTATCCGTGCTGAGATTTCGTCACACACCAGACCACAAGGGCTGATGAGACTTCCAAGATAAGTGAAGCGGTCGACACGCTCACCTACTTCACTCCCTATCATCAGTTCGGGTGTCGATGCAACCCAATCCTGATGCAACATTTTGCATTTCGAGGGGGAGAATCGCATCCCGAACATGCTTGCATTGTTATCCGTCCAATACGTTTTTATAAGCTAATCATTATTTCAATGGAAAACCTGGAAGCACTGGAAGGCCGTTTCGTCCTATTGTGGGACTCTTCAGCAGTGCGCATCCACGATCCCGCCTCGCGAGACTGGAACCCAGGACTTAACGGTCTCGCGCGCCAGCGCGTAAACACTAGACCACTGAGCCGGGACCCGACGGTGTTAATGTCTAAACTCAACCAATCCACGAAATTGCGCCACTGTCGCCGTTGTCTTCAGTAAGCTGCTATCTCAGAACAGATCTGGTTGAACTCCACTGGTCATAGCTTCTCACTACGACTTCCATACTAGGACGAAACGGCCGTCCAGTGCTTTCAGGTTTTCCATGGTGGTCTAGCTTCAATTAAATCATGATTTCAACTATTGAAATTACTAAAATCTCCACAAAACCCATTCTGATAATAATCATTATTTGTTGACTATTACGTTTTATCATATGCGTAATCCGATTATTTTAAGTCTCGTATATTTCGTCTCATATTATTTCAATCGCCGTTTATTTCAGTTTAAAGGTCAAATTTTCGTAGATTTGTGGTGTTAAATAATATGTTATAAATTTTATTTTGCATGTCTCATAAAATTCTTTTGTTGATATATTGGTTCACTGATGTGTTTCACTATCTACATCCATACAAGTTGATTGGTCAGATTATCAGTATATAGAATAGTCTTTTTTACTGCAAACCGTCTTATTTAAATCAAGTAGTTTTAATTATCGATTTTGTTGTATCATGCGTATCGAAAAAACGTCAACTGATTGCATAGTGTCAATACTTTATTATCGAAGTATTTTCTGTATTTCACATGTATCATGTTTGAATAATTTCACTAATTTTATCAAATCAACCGTGTTTTGTTATACTCAGGATATTTTCTCAACTATGGATTGAACAACTAACCAGTGAAGGCGTGATTAAACCAGCATAGTCAATGAATTAAACTCGAGAAAAGAATAGCTATCCATTAACCAATATTAATTATGCTTAGATCAATTTTTTCCGGGATTTCAGTTTTTACAGTAACAAACGAATAGAAATGTATAAGATTTTAATCTTATTAAAAACCTGAAAAATGGAGTTGTTACTGAACTTCAACAAAAAGATGACATACAAACTAGCAAAAGGTTAATAATTATAAAAATGTACTGAATAACATCTATAATTTAGAAAATGTAATCAGACTGAGTATGGTAATGTGAACAAAGAGAACTAAAACAAAAAGTATTGAACAAACAGTATTCAAGTGATTGATTGTTCTCAATAACTTCTTTATCAGACGCAACAGTTATCAATCCAAAAGGATTATTAATTTATTTTGTTTCGTTTGTTTGAGTCTTCCCATTGATATTTGGGACTGCAATTGATTAGTCTCTTATTGGCGTATATGCATCATGTGAGGACTGTCTCGATATTGCCTTAAGTCACAAGCATTATAAGCAAAGATGGATGGTGGCTAGCAGTAGACTAGCACTTCATCACATTACACAAGCAAGTGGCTATCGGGAAACAGTAGCTAAGTGGATAACGCGAAGCCGTTTGAAGTGAACGGTACTGGGTTTGAGTCCCGGAGTGAATATTAATTCTGGGATCCAGGTACATACAGGTGACGAGACCCAAATAAGGTGAAACGTACGTCCTGGATTCCACTACTAGCCACCATCGATTTTTGCTTAAAATGATTATTATTGTATTATAATAGATAAAACATCAAAGTTGAATTAATCTAAGTGATATCAATAAGTGTATTCTAAAACTCTATTCTATAGGAACTCCTTTGAAAAAGTTAACAGTTGGAAAAAAAAGATTAGGATCTTCGGTACAAGAAATGAATTAGCAAGTTTAGAGCACATCATTCAGATTAATGTATGCCTATATCGACTAATTTAGTTGATATAAAACGATAAATGCATCCTAATAATAAAATTAAATGATACGCCGATAAACTCATTACTTGTTGTATACTAACGAATGATAGACAGGTTATGTTTAATTTTATAATTGCATAGTCAAGAGTTGCATAGCCAGGTCATCAGGACATTAATTTAGGCAACAATAAAAGTTTATTAGGGGCACAGTACTAGACGTATGTCAAAATTTCTATTCAGTTCATCTGATGGTTTATCAGTAATATATTACTAATATAAATTAACCTTCATTTAAAACTGACTATGTTAGTCTTTTGTGTTCACCACATGATTTTATTTCAAATATAATCATGTACCAATAATAATTAAAATTCTGTTTACATGGTCAGAGTTTAATTACTCAGTCTACACAAAAAGTGATCTGACGAATTATTATTCAAATTAGTTTATACAATTGATTTTCCTACAGATCACAAACGATAATATTACGACGTTTTTATATATAATAGAAACAACCAAACGGCGACACAAAAGGTAGTTTTGACAGATGATGACATGGCATAATATAATATATGTAAAGGTTTATCCAAAGTTGAAAGAGCGTTTTCACAAAGGTTTACAGTCGAATATATAAAAGGTATTAGATGTCTAATAATATTTGTAATAATATTAGTGATTCAAAGTAGGTGGTTTCCATGTCCGACTCGGTAGCTTGGTTTGAGCTTTGGTTCAATGACAGATCCCTAAATATTATATGCAAATGTTTAGGATCGGATACTGATCGAAATTTGTATTATTAGTTAGATGGAAAACAACGCCGATCATAAAACTTGCGTTTCCACCAAAACTTACAGTAAGCGGATAATACTTTTGTTACAACTAAACAAAAACGACTGAATAAATTTTTTTCAAAATACGAAATTTAATCCAGAAAGTAACACATAAAGCATAAATATCTAAATTATAAGTCAGTACAGACTTTATAGGCAAATATAACAGTTGCGAGAAATCCGATTAACAGAACTGCCTATTTTAGCATGGAGAAAAGTAGCAAACGGGTTGAGCCATATTTACACAGACAGAGCAAACAAATACTTCAAAGATATGATATAAAATTATACTTCAGAACCAACGTTATTGTTAATTCTACATAAGTGAGAGTATAGCAACTCTCTTACGGTCAGTTTTGTTTGTGGGTAATTTTGTTGAGCCCTTTAACTTACCTATTTGATAAACAACGTTATTCTAACAGTAGCAATTCGTCTATCTCCTTGTTTTATTATGATCATGTCTGTATAAACGTGTACGCTTGATCACATAGCAGACTCTAGCTAAAGTGTTGATAGTTTAAATACCTCTCGATGATTCATTCTCTTCCCCATGTATATATGTACTCGAATCGTATAATTAGCCTTTGCCTTGCCTAGCTGTGCCTAATTTGATTTCACTATAAATTTGCCTATGTATTGTCTCGCAAATATATACTAACCTCTATGCTTCAAATTCGCTCGATGTGCTCATAACTTTGTCAATTGTGCTATCCGTTAATAAACTGTGGTCGCCGCTTCTTATTGCCTTCTGATTTCAAACACCGTTGGGGATTTATATGCTAACAGTTATCAAAATGATTGATTAACGAAGCTAAGTTACTACGATAGTTAAGAATATGGTATCATGTGAAGAGAAAGACATTATGCATATGAAATAAAGTATGCCGTAATGTTTTACATGTAGGAGGGACACTCAAACAACTGGATGTAATGACGAAAGAAAACAATGTTTGAAACATTCCTATATGCTCACAAAACCTCAGCAAACTTAAGAATAGATCTAACAAAAGTTGGACAGAAAACTGTTTCGGTGAAATGAAAGTGCTTTGGAAAAAGTTTCCAAGTTTTAACAAGAAAGGCTGCTAGTCAAGGTCCTATCATATGAACGAACCCAAACATTTTAAATAGAAGAGATGAAGTGCAACTAATTGCAACATGATAATTACTGACCAGTCAATAAAAAAGAGAGGTATAACAGTGTCTTCAATTGCTGCATCAATCTACACCTCAAGCAACGTGAACAGCAACAACATACATTCAACTATCATGACTAGATGCTTTTGACTTCTTTTGAGTAACATGAATAAGACGAATACAATTGTTTATCCTCCGATCAATACATTCTGAGGACAATTTACTACTATCCAGTTTAAATTCAATTCGAAATAGTTTTAATTATCCCTTTGTTGATATTCTGACTGAAATTTAATCATTCTTGGTTTGGAATAAGTGTATCTTGTGCGGATTGTCCCGATATAGTCGTTATGACACAAGTCAATATGAAATAGATAGAATGTAGCTAGGAGTGGGATCCATAATGCGTGTTTCGCCTTATTTGGGTCTCATCACATGGATGTACCTGCATTTCAGAGTTGATATTCACTCCAGGACTTGATGCGCAAGACTTCGTTTAGGATCCACACATATCAAACCAAGAATGATCAAATTCCAGTCCAAATATCAACAAAGAGGTGATCCAAACTATCTCAAACTGAATTAAAACTCATACCCGTTACACAAATGATTGGCTATCTGTAATGACCTTTGAAGCGAATAGTAGTGAGTTTAAATCTCACAGTAAACATCAACTCCGGGGTGCAGGTAAAGCCAGTTGACAAGTCCTGAAGAGGATGGAACGTACATCTTCAATTCTACTACTAGCCACATTCCACTTATTCTATATTATCTAATTTTAGTTCTATAGACGATGAGGATAACTAATATAACTTTGTTCATAGTTGAGGGCTACAGATAACTAATGCATTTAGATAAGAATAGTATATACTTATATACATAGCGTCATATGATGAAATTAGAACAAATTTAACATCTAATGAGTCACATACACGCTATAAACTACTAAATTCAGAGTGTGAATATTGAATAAATAATTGTTTATTAAGATTTGTTTTGACCGTACTTATATTAAATAGTTTATTGATTATTTCGAAATATTATGCTCGAAATAAGCTGACGGGTGAAATGTTGCAATTACTTTATTTCGATTGCTGAGATTTTCATAGATATAACCTGATAAAACTTATTTTGCTCTTTACCGTTATTATTATTATTATTATTATTATTATTATTATTATTATTATTATTATTATTTAAGTATTACCATTTTGATAATCGGGAAACACAAAGACGAATATTATCAGAATTATGTGATATATTTGCGCAATACGTTTCGAACAGTTTGATCACACTTCTATACTTGTTAAAACATTTTTATATGAAAATTAAAAGGTCAACTAAACAGGTTAGAGATAAGCCATGATAAAGGAAAAAAAATATATTAAAGTACACAAAAACAATATGATTACCACTCTGGATAGGGTAGGTTAAGTGTAAGGACAAATTGTTTTTGAATACACAAATTATGTAAATACTTATTACCAGTAATTTCTCATTGAGCTTAAGATTATAAATACTCATTAAGAATAGTTTAACGGTTACGGTTAGTAGAATAAGAGGATAATAATGGTGACAATAAAAAATAACAAAGTCTTGCAAGCATGATAAAATCCATAGAATCTATGAGATTGTATAATTGGATGGTTAAAGATGATATGTATCGAGATTGATTATTGAGGACTTTAAAATTCTTCTTCTAAAGAAAATCATAATATTTTGGAAATGGTTAACAAGTTTTATTTTTAGCTTCTCTAAGCTAATTGGATTTTATTTTCCTTGGTTGATTCAGTGTTTTTCTTTCTATAATAAATGTACGGTAACCTGAGTTATCAAACTAATGTACCAGCTTCTAAATGAGATGATTTCAGTATTTTATGTGCTTGTACTTAACCATTGTAATATTATTTTATGTAAATGGAAATTTTTTCAAGTAATTGACGAAAAACGATAGAGTTTATACTTTAAATTAAAATTTATCACATTTATTTTGTGTAATATTTGAAATTTATCATGAATTCAGGTATGCTAATGATGTGAAACGAAATGTTTTATTCTGCTGAAGTAACTATTGGGAATATGTTCGAATAGGTAGAATATTAAAAGGTTAAATATTCACAGAACTTACCCAATGACATACTAGTGCATAGAGTCAAATATGACACTTTTTTTACACCAGCATACTTGGAGGCTTGATCCTTACACGCATACATTATATAAGCAGACAGGGTTAAAGGGATAATTGAGCCGACTGCACGACAACTAGGGCAGCTATCATCCATTGTAGTTAACTTTCTCAAATTGTCTATAACGCCACCTTTAACTGTTGATTCGCTCATGATTCTGTAGTAAAAAAACGAACAAAAAAATGCAGGAGAAATTTAAATGAGAATAAATACAAGTGATTCAATTTTGATATAGTCCATTCTGGTGAAAATATTCGAATGATAGAAATTCTACGAGCTCAAAAGTTCTCTCCAACAATTAGGTCACTACCTACTTAAATATACAAAAAAACACTAGAAACGTGATAGCTATTGTCGATTTCGCGCATAAGATCTTTTATCTTAAACTTTACGCTAATACCAATTTATGTTATATAAAGGTACATTCTAATGTAAGGAATGTTTTTCATCAAATTGAACGTTTATCCATAGGACGGTTAAAATATCTTCAAAGGCATTTTAGGCTGCGAAGAAAAATATTTCATTTAGAATTTAAATATTACGAAAAAAATAATCCTATTTCGTGCACTTTAATGAGTAACCAAACAATTTTAAAAGTCAGCACATTTCGAAATTTTTATGCAGAATAATTGTGTGAGTTGTAATTTGCTAAAATGTCGGTTTCATTGTCTGGTGATCAGAAGTAATCAAGTTCTCCTGATACGTCCAGTTATCTTATTAGACTGGAACAGTTCGTAAATCAGTGATAAAAATACCAACACAATACTAATAATAATAGTAGGTATAGACCGGTTCATGATTTCAATGAAATCCAATAATCTCCACAACCCCATACTAAAAATATTAGTCTAAATTAATTTGTGACAAAAAGATTCATTCAAATCCATCAGTATATCGGAACTAAACAGAGGTTTACGAAATATTTCTTTAATGTTTCGTCAGTAGGTGTGTAGTTCAGCTTACATTAAAAGTAAACTAAAAGTTGGGGAGCACATGTTTCCATTTAACTTTACTGTGACTAGTACACACAATAAGATGTGATTTTGAATTATTAATACAATACTGAGTCAATTAATTGCAACATTAGATATATAAACCAGTTTGTTTTTTAATGAAACGTTCTTATCTCAATCATATGATTCTGCATGTTGATGAGTTTTCACATACGAACACGTTGTTTTGACAGATTTTTTAAGTTTATTAATGTCACGTTATTATTATCATCAGTACTATTATGAAGAAGGGAACTGAAACTGAAATGATGTTGATGATTGCAAATCGAATGTGGTGGTTGGAAGTCCTAGTACGAGTGACATTTAGTGGATCTGATCTCGCACCTCTCCATCTAGCACGGTAAATAAATAAATTAATTTCCAATTTTTTGTCAAACATGGTATATTTTAAAAGAGGATATATTTAAGCTATTAACGGGAAGTTAGATAAATCCCTAGAATACACACAAAAGGCAATTTGTCTTGAGTACAATTGTTATTACATTACATAGGTAGTCAAAGTATAAAATACTAAAAAACTAAGATGTCATAAGATTCTGATATCTCCCAGATCTAGACAAGTTAGCTATAAACCCGCCCAGGTGAGAAAGATACTTAAGAACTGTTTGGGTCAGAGCTGGGAAAGTATAGCCAGTCAGGATTTTATATAACCAGTGAAATCAATAAGAGCTAAGATAAAAAAAGCGAACAGGACTAAAGTTATCTGAAATTTTAAAGAAACACTAATTTATATCAACATTTTAGGAAACGTTTTACTAAATGTGTTAGATATTAGTTCAAGTTTATCAATATTAGGTGGATTATAATTATTTTAGTAAATTATATCCTTGTTTAAGGTGCATCATAACTTTTTGGAGATATCAAAGTTCTTGGGCCACATTTCAACTTTCTGACTGCTTCATTTTCTTTTGATATTTAGGCAGCTAATTATGACGTTTACATGAAACCACTGAACCTGAAATCTAACAAAAGCCCAAATGGACTCTGCAAACAAGGTGTTGAGTGAACTCGATTATTCTTTGACATGGGATATCTGTCACAATCTGAAACATTTTGTATAAAAGTTCACTTTTTGGCGACTAATTATTTACTAAATAGTTTAATTAAAATATCTGAAACCTAAGGTCTAAACTAAAGATAGATATCCGGTACAATAAAGTTACCAGAAACCTACAAAATACACCTTGTTAACATTCTTATTTCATAAGACTACACTGTATGTTTTAAATTGACCACTCTCTCAAACAATGTGAATGAACTACATTGTAATACCTGTATCCTATAGTTCACTAGTGATAACTATTGAACCTTTTACTAAATCAAAACAGACAAAAGAGTGAATTAATCCAGTGGTCATAAAGTGTAATATATTCCCTGTTATAAATAAAAAATATATATATATATATATATATATATATATATATATATATATATATATATATATATATATATATATATATATATATATATATATGCAACAATCTACCCGATGCTCAATTTATTTGAAATATCAAGTCGAACCTTAGTAATGAAACCTATATTCCATGTTAGTTTATCTGTACTCTTTTATTATTCTTATCCTATGAGGCGATTTAGCAGGAATTAGAGTACAGATATAAAGGTTAGAAAATTCAAGAAATCAATTAAACATTGGTCTGAAATAACAATAGCAACATAATAATTGTAATGACAAATCAGAAGAGAAAGTGTGATTTATAAATCATGTAATAATTACATGAAGTAGATTATATAATTAAATCTTTATATACACATTAATTATATGAAATCAACAAAACAAAAACAACGTAATAACATTAAAAAATGACAGTAGTATTTATAACGAATTTTTTCAACCAATAAAGATGATCAATAACAAGCCAAATCAGTAAGTTTAATTTATTTGGTATGTAGATTCATTCAAGAATAAATACTTATCTTTGTTTCGTATAAATCATGATTGAATTGTTAAACAATGAAAACAAAACCAAAATAACAAACATTATGGAATTAGGATTCTATAGAAACTATTTTATATTAAATAGAAAGGTAAGATGAGTTTGAAAAACAAAACAATTGTCACAAATCTTTTTAACATATAATATGCTGAACAATCAAAACATATAAATGAGAAAAATTACAACAATATGCATAGTTAAAAACTAATCATTAGAATTGACTATTCGTTATATATATTTCAACAATAAAATTATGTATAAGAATGAATGTTTGGATAATGAATGACCAATTATCAATAAGTTCCATTTATTAAGCTATAAAATGTGAATTAGAAGAAACAATGTAATTATCGCACAGAGTAGTAGTAATAGTAGTATTAGATTTTTGCAACTGATGAGGAACCATAATGTTGATGATGTTTATGAGAAAAAGAAACAATAAAAGAATGACCTTAACATCTGCATCTGTCTTGATTTTCTTGTTCTTCAGTTCCCAAACGAATACTATCAGGATAGTCAGAGTGTAGATTTGTCTATAAAGAAAAAAATCACATCAATATTAAAAGTTAATAAAAATATAGCGTTTTAGTGAACATAAACGTTGAAACAAAGCAAAAGTTCGGTTTTGATTTGAATGTATCAAATGTTTTTAGTTATAGATCTAAAAGAATCAAATAGACTACAATAAAGTTTTATTCACTGATTTTTGTCAGATAACTTTTGTTGACAATACATCCATACTACTTGGCGCTAAAATAAGTTTCTATAACAAAACTGAAGGGAATGACAATTCAGATTTTGATTAAACTGGTTGAATAGCACATATTAACAACTTATTACAATTATATAGTGCAGATACGATTGAATTGTACAGAAAAAAGAATTTAAGCGATTTTAATTATCTTGAATAAGATGAAAACACGCTACATTTACTTTATGGCTTCTGAAATAAATAAAATCAATTCCCAAGTAAATTGTCTCTTACATGAACTGGACTACAAGGATGGTCCACAAGGATGATAGTAAAATTAGTAGTAGAAATAGCCAATGTTTATGAGTATCAATATTAAATTTCGTTAAAAACTTGACTTAGTGGCTTCATATATCAGCTTATCAACATATATAACTACTGGACAGTGATAGAGCTGGAAGAAAAAGTTCTTCTTGAGATATGTACATACATTTTGAAAGAGATTTTGGAAGACCTGTTTAACCTATGTTTGGAGTAGAATGTGTTAAGTATGTTGAGATTCCATTAGCCCAAAAACAGTATTAATGAAACGTATGCAATAATTGAAATGCCTAAAAAGCTCAGCTACTTTAGGTATTGATGTAGACCAGTAATTGAAGCAGCGTTCCGTATTTACAGGGAAGGAAATGTTTTCTGAATACATTTAGTCGACCATCGTCTCCTGTTGGGAGATGAATTAATGAAGTTAGATGGGAAATTATTATCTCTAAGAGTATGTGCATAACAGAACTAAGCAAAAGTGAAGAGTATGGGCAGTCCAGTTAAATTTCGCCTGATATAATTGGTTCAGAACAATTTGGTGTTCTTAAACTGATCAATAGTACTCAATTACAACATCTTCACTACACATTTTTCGCTGCGCGTTTCGATTACCGTCAGCCGGAATCGAATGCATTCTTAGGTAAAAGAATACGACTACGGCCAGGTATCGGTAGGTATGCCTACAATTCAAAACCGATCGATTAGGGCATATTTGACACAAAATTTAGTGGTCATGATTTTAACCCATTTCCTCATCTTAGGTTTGTTGTTATTAAGTTCTAGTAAGGTGTAGGATTACTACAGAAGCTAATATTTAATAAATTATGGTGATGGGTTAGATAGCAGGGAAGTTATGTAACCTAATAAAAAAAGATTGGTCAGTGGTCAAATGCTCAAGTATATGTGGGACAGTTTGTTTCACAGTGCGAATTAAAAAGGGAGTCTAAATTAGTGATTAAATATATAATGAACAGTTATTAATCAGTTGCATTAACACAAATGGGTTTATTCTATATTTAACAGATAGTGGGATATTTCTACTTTCCTAAGGGAGTTTATTTATCTTACTCGGTTTCCTTCTTGATTTCTTGTGATATGGTAGTTTGAAATGCAATCAACTCAGTCGATACATTATATCAGATCTCAGTTTGACGTTTTAGATAATCTGTCAGATTAATGACAAGTGCGACTGACATGGTGATACAAAATCCAAACCTTTTTAAGAAACGGATGCGACAAATGTATTGAACTTTCATTATTTTCTTTTCCTTGAACTTTACCGAGTGGTAAAGTAAAAAGTCAGCCAATAACAGCACCGCAATTTTGTGACAACAAACATAGAACAACCGATTTGGTCTCATTAATAAGATGCACAAGTAATAACTTTTTAAAAGTTGAACACATTTGTATTAACCGTTAACTAGCAACTATGTACCTATGTGCATGATCACGAAAATGAGCTAATGACACAGTAAACTGAGAATAAATTCCCTTTTGATATGAAATAGCTGGATTAGGTTCGAAAAAGTATGGAGAAACTGTCAAGGGTTTTTTAAAATATTTAAGACAACAGAAGTAGGATACAGTGAAGCCTAAGCTACTATTTATAAAATTATTGGTTTAAAACGTTCACAGGTTGTACAGAATTAAAAAAAACATAAACTATGATTAAAGTCGCTTGGTACAGTAAAGATAACGTTCAATGTGTAATTTTTAAGGGTGAATTTTCTCTTAAGATGTTTCCAATCAAAGCACCATAGAACACGTGTCTGACACTGCAGATTCACTCGGTTGGCGAACATCAACCAACTTTATACACTTTTTTTTAACAAACTCACTATGTTTCCATAGTTTTAGGTTGGTCGATCAGTCACACAGCATTCCTTGTTCAATAAAATAACATCAGCACTATGGACCGAAGGCGCTAATACATGGTCACTAATTTGGCTTATCTCAAGACTTACAAGCTGAGGGAAACAAATAATAAAGTAAATACATTGGCAGACATTCTAATGTAGGCGACCAAAACTAGAAGAGTCTTTAAAAGCTAACCAAATTCAATAATCTGCACAACTATTAGTATACAAATCAATGGCACAAGTTACATATGACATACACGCACGTAAAATATTGGTTAAAAATCCCAATACTGTTTTGATAATAAAAGTATAAAGTGTACGTCTAGCCCAGTTGAATCTTTAAAAATAAAAACTCCATTTGTGAAATACGTAAAATGTCAGTGATTCAATAATAAATGGTGCGTAAACTAAAAAATATTCAACCGAATAACAAAAATTTGATCATAACTGACTGGTGATGGATAGACATGATTTAATCAATAATTGTAACTTAAATGACATAAACACAAGCTAGTTTAGCTCGTTATTGCTAAACGTGACTGATGTATGAATTGATGTGATTAAGAGATCAAATATGTTTTTTTAAACCACACTGCAACTGGAGTCCGAAAATTAGTCATCTTAAACCCTTACTTAATTTAAAACATGTAACTAAGTTGCGAAATATGAAAGCGAATAGTTCATAATATTGATTTATTAAACTCATACACAAAACTTGCCTTTACAGAGATTATAGGTGTCATTACCAAGGTTTGATTTGATAATTTCGAACAAATTGAGCATTGGGTTGATTGTTATAAATAAAAATAATATATTTGTAATATCCCAATGAGTAGAAAATTGGATTTTTCTGACGTTTCGTGGCTTAGTGTAAGTCACTTCTTCAGAGAATAAATAACCAAATTAAATTAATCCAAGTTTAAATAGTACAACGGAACTATTTAAACTTGGATTAATTTTAATTTGGTTATTTATTCTCTGAAGAAGTGACTTACACTAAGCCACGAAACGTCAGAAAAATCCAATTTTCTACTCATTGGGATATTACAAATATATTATTTTTATTTACAGAGATTAGTTTCTTTCATAGAAAAAATAAGCTTAAAATATTGATTTTCAGCTAGTATTTTCTATAATATATGCAATTTGATATTATTCACCTAAAATATTCCAAAGTTTATAGTATTCAAAAGACCCATAATTTCATGTGATCGAAATTAGTAATATCAGACTAAATGGAGTATATCGACACGTATATATAAGGTTTAGGTTAGGCTGCCGAGTTTGGATAACTTGTGGACACGGTGAGATATGTAGCTACCCCTTATACAAAACTGATAATAATTATATTGGAAAGTTATATATTAGTCCAAAGCTAAAACGGCTGATGCGAATTTACCACTTGGCGTTAGCACACGATTAACAGTCATAAATCACAATGTTTTCGTTTTTTAACTCAAGAGTACATTCCTACCAATTTTGTAACTTCAGGTGGAAATTCCAAACACTGGATATTTATTTAATAGAGTCGACATACAAAAGAGTAAAAAGCTCTACACATGTCAGATAAAAACAGTGCACTAGTAAATAGGCCACAGCTGACAATAATCTAAATGAACAATGTTGTTCAACAAGACAAAATAGTTATCAATTAATCTTACGATAAAAAGGGAAAACTCACCGCAGATTCTTCGTCTATGGCGACTCTTATAATATGAGCAAAAGCTTTCTCAACATTTGTGTTTTCTTTAGCACTACATTCAAAATATGGAAGGTTACCATTTGCCTGACACCATTGCTTTGCACGATTTTCGGATACCTACATAAAATGAGAAAAACGTACACTTACCAATTAAGATACGAAACATGTCTAAAATTGTGCAGAAACTCCTTTTTTTTTGAAAGGA